CTGTGGGGGCATGTAGCCCCTCTGTGGGGGCATGTAGCCCCTCTGTGAGGGCATGTAGCCCCTCTGTGAGGGCATGTAGCCCCTCTGTGGGGGCATGTAGCCCCTCTGTGGGGGCATGTAGCCCCTCTGTGGGGCATGTAGCCCCTCTGTGGGGGCATGTAGCCCCTCTGTGAGGGCATGTAGCCCCTCTGTGGGGGCATGTAGCCCCTCTGTGAGGGCATGTAGCCCCTCTGTGAGGAAATGTAGCCCCTCTGTCAGGGCATGTAGCCCCTCTGTCAGGGCATGTAGCCCCTCTGTGAGGGCATGTAGCCTCTCTGTGAGGGCATGAAACTTTGGCATCAGTGGTTCCAGACGTAACGACGTGGTGCTAGTTTTTTTTTTCAAATCAAGGGCTGGAAAAATTTAAAAATTCTGACCAGGATCAGTGAACACATGATTAAATTTGGTCACTGTTTCTGTTCTATCTGCTATGTTTGCGCGATCTGGTGTATGTTCTTTGAATGTTCGCTGTTCTGCTGACGCGGCTGTCTGGTGTTCACAGGCACAAGTGTTCAAGAACAGCAATCGGGTGGAAGTGTTGAGGAACAGTTTACAAGTGGAAGTGTTCTGTCCATGCGAACAGTCGCAGCGTGAGCTATCCATGTCGCAGCTGTTTGAGGTAGTGCTCTTTGTTCTTGTTTGTTTTATGTGTTGTTGTTGGAGCTTGTGTGATGTATTGTTTTTGGGGCTTGTGTGATGTATTGTTGGGGCTTATGTGATGTATTGTTGTTTGATTTGTGGCAAAGTTTCTGTTGTTGCTCCCGCAATCTCGCTCTAACTTGGCTCTGTCAACGTCACACAGCAACTAACCGGGCAACTAATTTTGATAAAAAGTTGAATTTATGTTAAATGAAAGTTATTTGCCTACTTGAACGTTATTTGCCTACTTAGTTGATAGCTATTGTATCTGTTATGGTGTTGCTGTTGTAGCTGTTATGGTGTTGCTGCTGTAGCTGTTATGGTGTTGCTGTTGTAGCTGTTATGGTGTTGCTGTTGTAGCTGTTATGGTGTTGCTGTTGTAGCTGCTATTGTAGTTATTAATGGGTTTCCACGTGTAGAAAATGTTGCATTTGTATGCATTTATATCTTAGGCCAATTATTTTTTCTAAAGTTCTTAAGTTGGTGACGGGCAAAGAAATGATAACGCAGCGTTGAGCACGAAATTTCTGTAGAAAAGTCATTTTGACGAGCCACGAGTTTGAGTTTTAAGGGAACTACCCTAAAATTTTCAATTTTGGCGTTTTCCGGTTTTTGAGCTCATCTTAAAGCTGGAATTCTGCTCTTTCCAATGGTACCACTGCCATCGCTTGGGGTGGAGTTCCTTAACTAAATAGACCTAAGAAAATTAGAGCGGCAAGACTACATATCTTGGTGTATCTGGCATCTGAGCTCAGTTACCCTCCTAACATTGTACGTAGAGGTGCGCTACAAGTTGCTGCTAGCACCCTTGAGTGGATTAAGCTACAGAAACCTGTAGTTTGGTATCCATGCTACATTGAGTGCCTATTTCGAGGCGCACGGGACTTTGTCGCGCCGTCCTGAAAAGTTCAACTTATTGTCACGGAAAACCTATCTCCTCCTACAGTTTTCAAGCTACAGCAATGAGACATACACCATTCGATTCGTAAGGAAATTACCTAAAAATTTGATGATCATTTTTTTTGAATTTCTGTCTGGTTCATTTTTTATATGGGGGAGAAGGGGGGGGAGGGGGAAAAAATGAGAAAAATGGGATAAAACGCGCATAAAAAAAACTAAGGGGAAAATGAGAAAAGTGATCATCAAATTTTTAGGTATGGTCCTTACAAACCGAATGATACGTGTCTCGATGTTGTAGTTTGATATTTGTAGGAGGAGATAGATTTTCTGAAGTACCCCTTTTTAGCCGTTTTCTATGAATTTCACGTTTTCTATCAATTTTTTCGAAAAATTCATAGAAGCAAAATGTTATTTTTTTTTACATTTTACGTATGTATTTGAAGTTTCATGATGATCGGACAATAACTGTAGAAGTTTTTCCGGAGGGTAGTCGGTCCCCTTAAAACGCGTTGAATTGCCAAATAAGGTGTTATGGAAATTTTTAAAAGCGAGGCCCTATGTCTATTGGACTACAGTTGTTGGATCAATATTAGAGCTGTGGAAGTACTAACAATTGCAACATTGTCACCGCTCATTGTATATTAGTGCTAGTGCAATGGCTCATGGCGTTTCACAACAAGATTGCCATTATCGCTATATTCCTATTTTTACTTAATTTTATTGTGACGGCAGATCTCCCCCAGCCGCGTCAACACCCGACGGGGGACGGACCCAACCCCCAAGGACGGCGGGGGCTGGATGACGTCTGACAACAGAGGGACGGGCCGACGGGCCCAATATGGCGACCCGTCCCGCCCGTCCACACGCAACCACACCACGGACGACAGCGACGGCAGCAGCCTGAGGGTGGACGGCGGGGGGACGACCACCGACCACGACGGGGACGTGGAGGACTGCAGTGAACAGGACGACGTCAGCACCGAGCCTGAGCCCCCCATATATTACCCCCACCACGGGGACGCCGTCAGGTGGGTGCTCTCCTTATATCACCTTCACTATAATCACCCTCACTATAATCACCCTCACTATAATCACCCTCACTATAATCACCCTCACTATAATCACCCTCACTATAATCACACTCACTTATAATCACCCTCCCTATAATCACCCTCACAATAATCACCCTCACTATAATCACCCTCACTATAATCACCGTCAGCTCCTGAATTATAAGGACCTACAGTCTATTTCTTAAGACTTTTTATAGTAGAGACTTACAGTAAAGGCTTTTATGAAATGTCTCTTTATCATGCACATTATCGGCAATTTTTTACAATACCTATGACTTAATCCTAACTTTAACTTGATAATAACTTAGACTTGACCATAACTTGAGGTAATAATAACTTAGACTTGAGCATAACTTGACCTAATAAATTTGCTGTTTAATAATAACTTTGACCTAATTATAAGTTTATTTGCCTCAGCGAGTTCCAAGTGACCGCAATGGACGCGGATGAACTACGGCGGTCACAGCGGCGGCACCGCAGCGGCGGGGCCGGCAAGCCGGCGGTCGCTGCGCTGCTGAAGGAGGCGACCGGCAGTGGCGGTCTCCCCGCCGCCGCCCTCAGTCCCGCCATGTCGGGGTCTCAGGAGAGCGACGAAGAGGAAGAGGTCGGGGCGGGAATTCATTAATTGTACTATATACTTTCAATAATAAGTAGTATTTAAAATAAGTGGCTGATTATTAAAATAAGTGGCTTAAAAATAAGTAAAGCTGATAAGATCAGCTTTTTTATTATATCTTGCCTCAAAATAACTAGCCGAGTTTATGGTTTTTCTATTCTGATTCAATTTTTTCATGATATATTTCTAATTCAAAGTAAGATTACCTCAAGTACATCATGGCACGTCACCACACTCTGAAATTTACTACAACAATAAGCCTCTAGCGTGTGCGGGAAAATTCCTTTAAAATCTATATCTCTTATCGCTGAATACAATTATTTGATTGCATTACTAGGCTTATGATTTGAGCGTGAGCGCCATATATCTGTGAGCGCCATTTAACTGTGAGCGCCATTTAACTGTGAGCGTTATTTAACTATGAGCACCATTTAACTGTGAGCGCCATTTAACTGTGAGCTCCATTTAACTGTGAGCGGCATTTAACTATGAGCACCATTTTACTGTGAGCACCATTTAACTGTGAGCGCCATTTAACTGTGAGCTCCATTTAACTGTGAGCGGCATTTAACTTTGAGCACCATTTAACTGTGAGCGCCATTTTACTGTGAGCACCATTTAACTGTGAGCGCCATTTACCTGTGAACGCCATTTAACTGTGAGCACCGACACAGGTGAGCACGCCCAGCGGAGAGAACGCTGAGCGCACGCTGCTCTCGATGCTCAGCTGCGAGAGCGTCGACAAGCTCGGCCACCGCGAGTCCTTCCTTAAGAGCACCTACGAGAGTCTCGGCTCTGACCCCCGCCCCAGCGACAGAGACAACAAGAACAGGTGGGCCTCAGGCACCTACGAGAGTCTCGGCTCTGACCCCCGCCCCTCTGACAGAGACCGTTTCGTGTCGTGCAGCATATTTTACCTTGTAACATAACCACATATCGTTATTGTGCAACGTAATGTAACATTACAATATATTGTTATCGTGCAGCATATCGTATCTTGTAACATAACAACGTAATAATGTATTGTTATTGTGCAGCATATTGTACCTTGTAACGTAACAACATATCATTATCGTGCAGCATATCGTACCTTGTAACGTAACAACATATCATTATCGTGCAGTATATCGTACCTTGTAACGTAACAACATATCATTATCGTGCAGCATATCGTACCTTTTAACATAACAACACATCATTATCGTGCAGTATATCGTACCTTGTAACATAACAATATATTGTTATCGTACAGCATATTAAGCCTTGTAACGTAACATATCGTTATCGTGCAGCATATCTTACCTTGGAACATAACGTAATAATGTATTGTTATTTTGTGCAGCATATCGTACCTTGTAACATAACAACATATCGTTATCGTGCAGTATATCTTATCGCTTCAACGCGCGTCACAAGGACGCCTCGGTTGTGTCCGACAAGAAGGAAGAGCTGCTCAGGAAGATCGAGGAGACCCGCAAGAAGCTGCAGAGCGTGAGTCCTGTTCATAAGAGTTGCCTTGGTTTTGTCATCAATGTGTTTCCATTTTCTTAGTATATTTACTTGCCATTTGAAACGTGTGCATTAGTATGAAAATATTTTATTTTCGTTTGGCATGAATATTGTTGATGAATTACTTTATTTATGGGCAATATTAGTCAGACTGATTACTTCAATGCGAATCAATATTAGTTCAATGCGAACATTAACGTAATTTCAATGAAACTATTTAGAGTAATTTGCATTACACGCCTCAATTTTAGATGCAACAATTACATTTTAATTATGTGTAGAAGTTTTGACGAAAATCATAGTTTATTTTCAGTCGTATTTATACTCGTGTTCAGATCGGATACAAGAGCAGCTTGCGCAGCAGCAAGAGCATCTCAGACCTGAGCAACATCCCTGAGAAAGACAACGCGTTCATGTCTCTTGGTGTTGGTGCAACACCCACGCAACACGGCAGCGGCAACACAGGTAAAACAGCGTGGCTTTCCTCTCTTCCTGGGGACGCCTGTTCTTCCTCACGTGAGGGGAGAGTTGGGGAGGATGTGCATCATTGGAGTTCAGTGACGAGAGGCGGCGAGGGTTCCTTCTGTTGTTCGAGTCGTGCTCTTCCTCCGTTGTTGTCTTCTTCTTCCTATAATGAATCAGATCGATGTGTTGAATTAGATGGTCGTGACGTCGGTGGTCAACCTGTCAGCAGTCGCTTTCTTCTTGCCATTCCTGCTCATATGGCCAATTCTGGGGTGTTAGCTGCCCTTAGCAGCTGTCATGTCACTCCCGAAAAGGTCATGGACAACAGTCATGGCAGAGCTGCCAGTACCCCGAACAGTACCCACGTCAGAGCTGCCAGTACCCCGAACAGTACCCACGTCAGGGCTGCCAATGCCCCGAGTAGTACCCACGTCAGAGCTGCCAATGCCCCGAACAATGCAGCAGCAGTCACACAGACTCTCACTTCATCACTTCCTTCACCAAAACCTTCTTCTTGTCCGCGCGATCCCAAGGCTCTCGTAAAAGCTCCACTCAGCGAAGACCGTTCGCGGCGTGAAGTGTTGAGGCCTTCAGCGCTGCCTTTAGCTGCCCGCTTCTCTGATGCTTTGGACGCGGCGAATGGAAATGACGAACGCCACCAAGACGACGTTGTGCTCGTTGACGTCGGAGGCGTTGTGTTTGATGACAAGGACGTGGCTATCGGCGACCGCACGACTGGTCAACGTCTGCTGCTGGAACTGGAAGTTTATTTTCGGGATTTAGAAAAGCTTTCGATACATCCACTCTCCGGAGCTGCTATCCCCTACACGGTTAGAAAGAAATCTGCAAACTCAGTGCATTTCTCTGAGAACTCCGAGACAGCGTGTGACAGCACCGAGTCTGGGAGTGACACTGTGATCAGTAATGAGACGGACTACAGCTACGACAGTTTGGATGACAGCGATGGCAATAACCTCAACAATTCTTTTAGTCTTAATGACGGGGATTATGAGAAGACTGTGAGTCACGAACTTGAGGCAGGCTATTTCATTCAAGAACGTTCGTCTCGGAGAGACTGCAATGAACAAGATGAAGACGAGGTATTCACTTCAGATGGAGCGAGTTCGTCATATGGGTTGTCTCGGTCTCTAGACTGTGGATCAGTTTTGCTTCGTAATGAGGAGCTTCGTTCTATATCAGACTCACGAGAATCTCTGCAACGACTCTTTGTCTCTCATCAAGACTTCACTCGCAATCAAGAGACAAGTTCAGAGCTCACAGAATTCAAACGTAAGTTTCAAGAGCTGCGCCCACATCCTGTCTCTCGTTCTGTGCACCTGGACTCCCCTCGCTGCTGGTCTGACTCTGGTTTACCTGAGGCAGATGGCGTGTATTTTGATCTGACAACCACGACGAATGCCCATCAGTTGATGGGCAACGGGCCTTACCGGCCCGGCATCAGGCCTCACGAGTCTTTGTGTAGGACGAACTTCGAGCCTTCGTACCGACCGTCACCTGCAGCAGCCAGATCCTACGCGGATAAATCTGCCGTGGACGCTCTGCTGAGGTCAGGCCAGCCTGGCTTTGGAGGCAACGACTTAGGTAATACTACAACATCTGTCATTGAAGATGCTTCGGAAGCCTTGAGCTTCTCATGGCACGGCGATGTCAGAGCAGCGAACTTGAATAACTTCACTCATTGCTTCGGTGCCGGTATAGAAACAGTGGAAAATTTTCATGCGTCCTCACCCTCAAAGAAAGACATTCCCAAGTCCCCCGCCGTGCTGAGAAGGGTGACTCAAGTTCCTTCTTTAAGTTGTGATGCTGCCTCGTTCCCTCCATTGAAGAAAGACGAGTCTTCTTTCGTAAGCGGGAGCGCTACATTGCCAAGATACCAGCCTTTGAGAACCTTGCATGGCGGGACGGTCTCCAACGGCGCTGCCCTCAAGAGATATGTTCCTAGTGACGCCCTCGTGAATCACTCCCCTCATGCCCCTAGCGACGCCCTCGTGAGTGTCTCCCCTCATGCCCCTAGCGACGCCTTCGTGACTCACTCCCCTCATGCCCCTAGCGACAGCCTGCGGCAGAGGCCTGGTCGCGCCCATAGAGTGTCTCTCGCCAGGCACCTCACGCTCCCTCAAGTCCTGCCCTCGAAACGTAAGGCGTCTCATTTGCCTCTTGCTTCTCCTGTGCATTTGTCAATTCTTTTTTTGGCCTTCGGTCTTGCATATACCAAGCATTCGCCCAAGCAAATTTGTTCCTGTCGATTTGTTTACTTTTTTGGTTTTACGACTTCTACTTGGTTGCTTTTACGACCTCTACTCGGTTGTTTACACGTTTTATACTTGGTTATTTTACGACTTCTACTCGGTTGTATTCGTACTCTTCTCATGTTTCTTCCGGTTGACGGAACATTTACTTTGTTGTTTTTATTGTTTTCTCGTTTCGCAATTTCTATTTCGTCGTAGCTTTTTCGTTACGTTAGTAGCTCTGCCCAGTCGCTGCATGGATGTTGAATGTTAGTCATGTTGAAAGTTAGCGTCATCTTTCTATGTTGACTTTAGGTTATTGATCGTTTATTACCTTCTGTTATTGCTGTGTGCCTTATGCCTCGTGTTCCTTTAACCGACCGTGTAGGGTGATGACGTGTAGAGTGAATGTGAACAGTGAGAGATGAACTGTACAAAAACTCTAATTGCTTGACGCATTAATTTGATCATTATTAAATGTTTGTTTGGTCAATAGATGCGGCTACTAAGGTCGTCAGTAAATGCATCTGTAAATATGTAGCCTTTAAAGTTAGTTATTTCTGTGCATCTGTGAGACCATTAGTTAAGTACCTCTTATTTATTACCCCGACATTAGCAATTAGTAGAAGCTCCATTGACGACACGACATGAATGTCTTCACTCAAGTAATAGGCGCGACAGAAGAGGCTAGTGTGGTGGGTGCATTTATAAATGTGTTGTGCATGACTGTAGTGCATCACAGTTACTGACACTGTGGTGCATAGTTTACCACAGTGACAGGCAAGCACCAATGTGGTGCACCAGTACACAGCACCACAGTGACAAGCAAGTGTAGTGCACCACTGTAGAGCAACACAGTAACAAGCAAGTGTAGTGCACCAGTAGAGTGCAAAACAGTGACAAGCAGGTGTGGTGCATCAGTGTTGTGCACCAGTGTAGTGCATCACTGTGCTGAGCATGTATGGTGCAGCAGTACAGTGCACCACAGTGACAGGCAAGTATGGTGCACCAGTACAGTGCACCACTGTAGTGCACCACAGTGACAGGCGAGTATGGTCTACCACTGTAGTACACCACAGTGACAGGCGAGTATGGTCTACCACTGTAGTACACCACAGTGACAGGCGAGTATGGTGCAGGTGGTGATGGCTGCAGCGGTGACTCCCACGACTGGTGAGACTAACCCCAACCCCACCACTGGTGAGACTAACCCCAACCCCACGACTGGTGAGACTAACCCCACCCCACGACTGGTGAGACTAACCCCAACCACACCACTGGTGAGACTAACCCCAACCCCACCACTGGTGAGACTAACCCCAACCCCACCACTGGTGAGACTAACCCCAACCCCACCACTGGTGAGACTAACCCCAACCCCACATATCCAACATATCCACAATTTCCTACCGGCATCTCTTTTCATTTCGCTAGTTTCTTCGTTTATTAAACTTAAAATTAAACATTAAACTAGTGTTTGCTAGAGATGCTCGCTGGATGATCAATAGACTCTTTTTTTATTATGCGTAATGTTTATTGTTTATTATATCATCAAATATATTGCTATGCATATATTTCTGTATTTATTTCTATATTTAATTTTATGCATCTCCGTGTTGTGCTCGCGTAATGTCCGTGGACGTTCATAGAATGTAATTTTATTTAATTAATTTACGCCTAATTTGATTTATGCATCTAACGTTATTGTGCATGTCAGTTTCTATTAGTAGGCTTTAACTCATTGCATTAATAGATACGCTCGCATGAATTTAATTTGCGTCCAACTTAATTAGCTTACGTGTACGTTCATAAAAAATAAGATATTTATCGTATGTTATAAGTTTAGCTCTCAAAATATTATTTCCTTGCAGTTAGCAATATTAAATAGATTTATGAATAAAGAAAAATATTTATTGAATATACTGAGTTTAGCTCCCAAGTTCATGATTTATTTTTAGTTATGTGGTAATGTAAAATAGATTAATGAATGAAAAAATAATACCACATTTATCGGATGCAGTTAGTATAGCTCCCAAGTTCATGATTTATTTCTAGTTACGTTGGACTGTAAAATAGATTAATGAATGAAAAAATTATACCACATTTATCGGATGCAGTTAATTTGGCTCCCAAGTTCATGATTTATTTTTAGTTATGTGGAAATATAAAAGAGATTAATAAAAAAATACAACATTTATTAGAGGCAGTTAGTTTAAATCTTAAACGAACATATCTTTGAAGTAATCGCTTGTAACGCTGATGTTTTGGTCCCAGCGGGAGGACGCAAGAGTCGGTGTCCCGGCAAGTCCCCGGGCCGCGGGTCCCAGCAGTTCGGGGCCCCTGTTCTGCGCTCCAACTCCGTCACCAGGATGGACCAGGTGGGTCTGGGGGACCTTTTTAGGGGACGGGGGACCTTGGGGATGTGGGATCTTGGGGACGTGGGACCTTGAGGACGGGGGACCTTGGGGACGCGGGACTTTGGGGTCTTTAGAGTACGGGGGAACCTTTCGGGGGATCTGGGAAACGTGGGAACATTGTAGGCCTTGAGAACTTTAGGAGGGTTCTAGGAATATGGGACCTCATGAGGGTCCCTAAAGGACTGGGGACCGCAGGGATGCCCTTGATTACCATCGGGGCCGTGTGTGATGTGTACAATACTGAACAGCTCTATACTACTGAACTCTATAATACATGCTCTATAATACTGAACATGCTGTGTGTTTCCAAAATTCTCTTTTCGCTGTGTTGTGTACCTGCAGACGTGACATGGCTAACCTGTGTACAGGATGATGTTAATTGTATGTTTGTATGGCAGGATGAGGGCGGGGGGCGGGGAGGGGGGCGCCAGAACCCCCCCAGCGCCGCCAGCAAGATGACGCCCCGGGCACTTAAACGCAAGTCTTCTCTCTCCCAGGCGCTCTCTACCGGTCAGTAAACTTTATCTTGAGACTAGTTGACTATTGCTTACTGCTAGTTTATTACTAGTCACTGCCAGTTTACCATTGCTTACTGCCAGTTTATTACTAGTCACTGCCAGTTTACCATTGCTTACTGCCAGTTTACTATTGCTTACTGCCAGTTGACTATTGCTTACTGCTAGTTTATTACTAGTCACTGCCAGTTTACTATTGCTTACTGCNGCGGTAGGGGACATTATGTACTGCGTGCTACTTGCTCCATGGAGGGCTGGGTTACGACGGTGGGGGACATTATGTACTGCGTGCTACTTGCTCCATGGAGGGCTGGGTTACGACGGTGGGGGGCATTATGTACTTCATTGCAGTTTATACTTCAGTGCACTGCATCATGTTATTCAATGCCTCTCATCATTATTTTATTCATGGCATTACGTCATGACGTGCATCGGTGCTTAACAAGATTGACGTCATTTGGGTCATCGCCGTATAGGCTCCTGTTGTCCCGACATGCTCTCGTGCGCAGTCACGGACCTGGGCCCAAACTTTGCACCGCCTAATATCTCTCTCATTCAGATTCTGATTTAGACTCTGACTCGGGCTCTGACTGACTCGGACTTAGACTGACTCTAACTTAGGCTCTGACTTAGACTTAGACTCTTACTTGGGCTCTGACTCTGACTCGGACTCTTACCTGGGCTCTGATTCTGAGTCGGACTTAGACTCTGACTCTTACTTAGGCTCTGATTCTGACTTGGGCTGAGACCCTGACTCGAGTTTCATACTCAGACCCTGAACTGAATTTCATAGATGAGGACTTACAAAAAAAGCTTGGCACCCAGACGCAAGTTGCATCCTATAGCTTGTTTAATTACTTGATTATTTTTATTTCCTTCCCAGTGTTTGCTGTGGCGATTGTTCATCCGTATTTCACTTACGGATCTTTGTATAATTCTTGTTTGATTTATGCATGTTTTTTTTTTCTGCACACTCATTTTGTAGAGACAAAGGCTGCTCTATCAAGGCATGGTTACTGTAAAATTACTCGTTACTGTAAAATTTACTGCGCATTATGTACTTTGTTCATCCAATTTTCGGGCATGCTAATTTTTTATATTTCCGTTGAAGAGTTCAGTTTGTGTTAGCAAATGTTCCGCTAAATGCAACAGCCGGAGAACTCTGCGGCACGTGTCGACCACAACCTGCAATGCTAGCTTTTATAATGATTCATTTAGATTGTTTTCCAGTATTATTGGGACACCATATATACCGCGGTACTAACATATATACCCCAGTAGCACCATATACGTACCGGTATGTCCCGGCAGCACCATGAAAGTCCCAGAAGCACCATATATGTCCCAGTAGTACCATATATATCCCGGCAGCACAATATCTGTCTCAAAAACACAATATATGTCTCAGTAGCACCATATGTATCTCGGCAGCACCATAAATGTCCCAGTATGACTTGTGTATCTCAGTAGGCGGCCTGGCATGCCTGTACGAGCCGTAAGTGAGCGGGACCTCACTGCAGACCTCAACAGGTTAGTGTAGGTTATCAACAAACTTTACGCAAAATGCCTCTAACGCTCCGCTAACTTGACGGTTTAACCGCAGGAAAAGAGTTAACTTGAACGCAAAATGCCTCTAACGCCCCGCTAACTTGACGGTTTACCCGCAGCAAAAGAGTTAACTTGAACGCAAACTGCCTCTAAAGCCCCGCTAACTTGACGGTTTAACCGCAGCAAAAGTTAACTTGAACGCAAAATGCCTCTAACGCCCCGCTAACTTGACGGTTTAACCGCAGCAAAACAGTTAACTTGAACGCAAAATGCCTCTAACGCCCCGCTAACTTGACGGTTTAACCGAAGCAAGACAGTGCGAACGCAAATGCTTATAACGCCTCACTTACCTGACGGTTTAACAGGAAGGCAGTTAATCTGATTGCAAACTGCTTTTAAAGCCCCGCTAACCTAACGGTTTTCACCCCCGGGAGAAACTCATCGATGCTTACGTTTGCATATAAAAAATAGGCGCAATCGCTGCACTAATCATTTAACAAGGCTCGTGATTTGGAAAAAATTACATACTGTATGCTTTGCCTGCCTATCAGTTATTTTTTTGGCAAGACCCACTAATTTTATTCAGCTAATTAATCAAACAGAGAACTGTTGAGCCGCTAGCCTGTGCTGCGGCTCAATTGCGCCCCGAACTTGTAGTATCTTAATATTATTAACGGCTCGTTTGTGTGTCTTTAATGAGCCTCATGTAACACACCTCATTCTCATATTTACTGTTGTTCTATTTACTGTGTTTGGTTTGCTGTAATATTAGGGTAGGTCGGTACACCCTGGGTCTTGTTATTCGCAAAGTAAATTTGCTAGTGTAAAACATTCGCTCTTACTAAATCTGGAAATTGCGCAATTCTGTACGCATTTACTGACTCATTAACTTTAACCTATAAATAAGATTACTAAAATCTTGTAAGCTACTACTTAATAATAAATGACTTCTAATAATAATTAATAATAACAAATGGATTACTTGCTGGTATACTCACAGACAAGGTCAACCAGCAATTATTCAATAATTTGAACAACTCAAGTTCCTTAGAATAAGAATTATAAACTCTCATGTAGGTAAGAAGTTGTAACATTCCAAATTATAAACTTATTCTCATGCTACCAACATTTGTGTTGAAATATCCACCGTTCCCTTAGCACTCGAGCAATTTCAGTTCTCGTGAAGCTCAGCCCCAAAAGTCCAGTAATCATTTTATCTTGTATGCAAACTTGCACTTGTATTTATTTGTCATATGTTTCTTGATGTCCGGAAATTTTATACCTGAATATATTTTCGCATTATTGGAGAGATGCCGTGGAGGTTTATCATTGCACTTTAATGTAAGTTAAAACACCGTCACTTGCTACTGTGATCTGCTTTACCTCGTGCAGTTATTTCTTTGATTATCAATTTGATCCCCCACTCTGATCCCATTTTAATCAAACTTTGATTCCCTCTCTTATCCCATTTCGATTCAGCTTTGATCCAGGTTTGATCTCCACTCTGATTCCACTTCAATCCCCACTCTGATTCCCTTTCTGATCCTTAAGTGATCCCACTCTGGCCCTCCGTTGTTCCCATTTTTATTTCCACTCTGATCCCCCTTGCTGCTCCGACATTCTCTGGGTGCTGACATCTCTGATTGCTTGTGCTGACGCTGGCTCGCCGCAGGTCCCTGACGATGCGCAGTGCAGGAGGTCAGCTACGGACAGGACCGTCCCCTCGTCGTCAGATGTCAGCGTCTGACCTGAGCAGACCTTCGTCAGCCGCCTCAACCGTCGACCTCAGTCCTGACGACTACAGCGCCCCAGCGTCAGCCTTCCCTATAGACCTCGAGACCATTCCCCGTGCGTTCCCCACACTCTACACCCACTCCCCACACTCTGCTCCACTCTCCACACTCTACCCCCACTCTGCTCCACTCTCCACCCTCTGCCCCCCTCTCCACACTCTACACCCACTCCCCACACTCTGCCTCCCACTCCCACACTCTGCCCCCACTCCCCACACTCTACACCCACTCTGCCTCCCACTCCCACACTCTGCCCCCACTCCCCACACTCTGCCTCCCACTCCCACACTCTGCCCCACTCTACGGCCACTCCCCACACTTTGCCCCTACTCTGCCCTCACTCCCCACACTCTACACCCACGCTCTGCCCCCACTTCTCACCCTCTGCCCACATTCCCCACACTCTGCCGTATCATACTTTACTCATATACTTATATATGAGTATACTCGTATATACTCATAGTATTCTCATGTATGCCCTCATACTTTATACCTACCGCTCATATACGAATGAGTTACATTAAAAGTTTTATGATTAATGCAGTTGTTCGGTGATTGGTCAAATGATTGCTGCTTGTGCATTCGCTGCGATTTGTTGGGTGAACTGCCTAAAGTGGGAATGATGAAGTCAGGCTCACAAGCTTTAATTAATAATGATTTCAATTAAATTATTTACTTACACGACAAATGTTTACAACAGTAACTGATTTAACCGGGCATAACCTTTTAAGCGGACGCTGTCTTCTTTTGAATAGGTGTGAAGATTTCAAATAGAAGGAATACGTTTATGAAAAGAAAAATTTATTTTATTTCTTGTACAGTTACAGCCAGCGTGGTGGAGAGCCTCTGTGAGTGGGCCGTGGAGAGCTGCGAGCGACTAAGTCAGGTGTGGTGGAGAGTCAGTGCAGAGACTGGAAATTCAGGACAGCCTGGTGAAGAGCAGCAGCAACGAGCCCTCAAAGCCCTCATGCTGGGGGCTGCAGCGAGGGCACAACATGCCCTCTCACCCCTCACATCTTCCGTCCACAGCCCTCAGATGATGCCTCCTGCCATGGCCGCGGCATTGGCGGCCAACCAAGGTGGCGGCGGTAGTGACAAGGACCCCAGGGTGGTGGCTATGATGCAGCAGTACACTGACATGCTCGTTAATATGGTGCAGCAGAAGATGGCGCAGGCGCAGCCATCACCCCCGGGACCAACATGACTGTAAACGGTGTGGCGAGGACGGTCTTCAGCATCGCTGCCCTTATCCTTAGTCTCGTCTGCGAGCTCGGTTAAAATACTTAGCTATTTGTCCATATCTTTTAGAATTGCAACGCTTCCATCAACTCTTATCATCTATTTGTCCTTATCTCATTGAATTGCTGCGTTTCCATCAACTCTTATCATCCATTTGTCCTATCTTATTGGGATTGCAGCGCTTCCACCAACTCCGATGAAACAAACACATTTGCTGTGTCATCCCACGTTCCCATGCTTCTCAACTTTATTTTATTTCCTTCAGCAATTTTAATTCAATACATTCCATGAGCTTTAAAATATCAAGTGTCACAGCTTGTCTAACTTTCTCAATTTTTTATTTGCTCACACGCGACTCAAGCTTTTAGAACGCGTCCGGAGCACGAGCATGACGTTGCATTTTCTCTTGCACGAGAAGGGCTTTAAAGGTTAAAGGATTTATATCGATTAACCGACAAGAACTGTTGACTTGGCATCGCCACACTGCGCTCCAATTTTTTATATTCTGTAAGGTATTATCTTGATGTTCAATCTGAGGATCAAAGAATAATCCTCTCTGCACCTCGATGAGCAATGAACGATGTTCAACATCTCGCAATAAATTTTTTAGCCTTGACTGTCTAACAATCAAGAGAAGGTTAGTGCGCTTCACCGGTGTCCATGATGATGAAACCTCTCGTGTGTGATATACGTCTTCGATAACGTGTTTATGTCTGTTGTTAGGCACGCCCGTACATTTTAACTCGTCTGCCTGTGCTAACTCACGGAATAATAATTATGTTTATTTGAAGTACTTCGGCCTTGCGTGCGATGCATTGCATTTAATTACACGTGACGTAAGAAGCGAGAAGCCGACGTGTGACCGGGCACTCGTCACGAATATTATCTGCTGTACTTTTACTATGTACGAATTTGTGTATATTGATTAACATTGCTTGAACACCAAGTTTGTGCGTGTATTTTGTGTTCATAACCAATAACTTTTAGAAGGCTTAGTGCCTTAGCCATGCCATTTGTTTATAGCTTCTCTGTACGCTAGCCATCTTAGCTTTTTCGTAAACACGCCAACTTGCGATTCATTTAACGCTTAGAATTTTATTTGTACAAAAGTTGACAGGGTCGCGTACCGTGATGATACGAAGCCTTGCATTGAATCTCTAGGTTAATGCTGACGCTTCTGTGAATGAAGGATTTGTAATATAATACACAACGGTTCGTTTTGTGTGCATATTTGAAGTACGAGGTCGGACTTTGTTCTATGCGTGATGGTGACGATGGTCATGTTCTTAAGAATGTTAGTACCTATCTTTATATATTCTAGGTGCTCTTCCATGGGACGCGAAAATTTCAATAGTTATTTTTTTTAAGTGCTGCTGAACTTTTGTCTAACCGTAGGCTACCGCCGTACACTAGACGGAAGATTTATCGCTGCGTTCTTAAAAAAACGCGACTGATTTTTTGCCTGGTCATTTTTTTCAGTTTTAGAAAGAATTTCTCAGGTTTTATTCTACAGGCAGACGCTTGTCAAGCATGGCTTACTTTTATAAGGAGTCGCTGGTAACCTCAGTTTATGTTAGGGCTGAGGGCGTCAGGTTTCTTCTGATGCTGGAAAAACACGTGTTGGAAAAGAGAATGCCAATAAACGTCTTCCTATTTGGTTAATTAAATTCAATTGTCTTGATATGCACGGTGTTTAGAGGGCTAGTGTCAACAAACAGGACTGTTGAGTTGACCCACTGTCAACACCCTAGATTTTTGGGTCTACACACTAGATTGTCCTGTTGTGTTATGCACTGGATTGTTGTTTCTGTTGACACTGGACTGTTGCCAGCAAGCCGGCAACTCCTGTCAGCTCGCTGGTGTCCATCTAATGTGACAGGCTGTCAGTCGCTCCCCCTAGTCGTCACGAAGTCGCTGTGTTGTGGGTTGGTTTTCTCGCACTTGTTTTTAAACACAAAAATGGCGCACCCTTTCTCGTGGCTAATACATTTTTGACAAATTTTTTTTGCCGCTTTTATACTATTAATGTCTAACTGAGCTGAATCATCGGTAATATGAGACTCGTTTTTGCCAGAGGTTGTTCCATTCTTTTGAAATACTAAGGACTTTCAGACGCGGATGCCTTTTCCGATGTTTAGTAATTACTTGCCAATATGTTGTGCCGTAAGTTCTATTTCCCTCGCTTCATTTAACTTTTTCTCATACCAACCGATTGAAAGGAATTTTTCTTCATATAAGCTTTTAATTTCTTATCAGCAGATGAAAAGATAATTTTTTTTGTGCATTTAAAGCACGCCTAGCTTTCAGCAAGACAATATTCCAAACGGAACTTTAAACTGATGAGTTGTGCCAAGGCCGTGTAGGAAAGAGTGTCGTTAGCCCAGTGCCTTATTCCCATCGTGGTCATGTTACTTGCTCCCATAACCGCCCCTCCTCCCCTCTCATTATAATTATCTTCCATTACAAGTGTAAGGAATAAAGGTAGGCTTGTGCAACAGTGTGATGCAAGCTAGGCTTGTAAAGAAAGAGTTTAGTTTATGTATACTACGATTTCATATTAATTCATTGTACATTATCGGTCATCAGTTTTACGGTCTTCATTAACTTTCTCTAATAAAATATTCAAGAAATAATGAGTTGTTTCTTCATGGCCCTTGAAGATAACACCTCATCGGTGTTCGAGCAGGAATGTCTAGCAATTAAATGGTGTGTCAACTATTGTCATCAATATTTGTTCAGTAAGAAGATTATAATTCGTACAGATCATGCGCCTCTGCAATGGTTGCGACAAAACAAGGAAAAAAATTCTAGATTAATGAGATGGGCCTTGTCTCTTCATGGATACGATTTCAGGGCGGGCTGGGGACCAAAATAGGCGCGCCGCAGTGACGCTGGACATTTCCGACTTTAGGAGTTGGAAATGGGTTTTGAAATCGGCAACTTGCCGATTCCAAAACCGCGAGGAATCGGCAGCGCACAGCTCAAGGGTGGAAAAGTCGGCAAAGTGTTGCATGTTGCGTGTGGCCTTCAGCAAATGAAATGTTTTCAATCAAGACGTGGTTTTGAACATCAATTAATAATGAAAGTATAAGAAAAGTGAACAAAAGATCAGGCGTGTTTTACTCACTTATCCTCATTTCAAAGACGACGACATGATTGAAAATTGGAAGGGCCTCAACGTTTTCTTATAAATGCGATGAGGAATTTTTCCGCAGTGCCGTGGAAGATCGCACACAATAATCGACAGCTTTAAAGAAAGAAAAAAAAAGATTGTTCCTTCTTCAAAAAAAAAAAAAAACTACAACTAAAGTATTGAAACAATCAAATTAACTCCAAGTCACCTCTTCATTTAACTTATACTAAAATAACATCCTAGCAAGATAACATATTAACTAGCAAACGTGCTCACATAACTCAAGAACAAACATGATTAAAGGAAATCTCATCCCGATTAATGATTTCAAGTAATTTATTATCAGCCACCTGGGCATTTCATTATACGGCCAGCCAGAAATAGAAAGCATGCTTGAAATACAACAATCCAATACGCAAAAACAATGAAAATAAACACGAATAAAAGCGCAAATGAACAACCATGGCCGACGCTTCAATCGTTTATTGAGCTTCCATGAGCGCAGATCTGACGAAAAGGCGGAGCAATAATAGCAATCTTTCCCATGTCGAGAGCCGTAAAATGACATTCATAAGTAAGGACTTTCATAGAAAAAAGGAACGGCAAGGAGCACGAGTCGATGCTTCAGGAAAAATCCAGAACATTTACTGTGCTAAATCTGGAGGAAATTCACACTTGGCGGCGGGAAGGGGACAAAAGCTTAGGATATATCGTATCAAGACGACACAGCTTCATCACGGGACTTGGAAGTCGCCTAGTTTACTTGTAGCTAGATAAAGAACATGAAAAAATTTATCATTATGCATGTTCATTGTCGGTTAACAATGCTTTCTCGACGCGCCATGACTAAAACCAAATGCAGATTAAATTTAGTAAAGAATATTACTTAATTTAAGTTACCATTGAATCAAATGAGAATTATTTTATGTGCAGTTGCTATGCTGCACACAATGTCGAGTAAGAATACTTCAGGTCATAGTTATTACTATTGCGAGAGTCTTATCTTTCCTGACGCAAGAAATGGTCGGTAATATGGTAAACTTTAGCAAGAACAGAGACGTTAACATGGCAAAGGAGGAACAAAAGCTTATGATTGAGGAGGACGCTGCTGTGAAGGGGGCTGTTGGTCTCCCATCTGGGAGCGCAACTGGGATAGCAATTCTGGGTGTTGACTCTGCATCTGCTCAGCCAACTGCCGGCCTCTGCACGTGAAAGATGAGTTAGTGAGACGTGACATCAACACTTCAACAGCAGCACCCAGCCCTCCATGGAGCAGGTAGCCAAGCACCACATATGTCCCCCACCGTCGTAACCCAGCCCTCCATGGAGCAAGTAGCCACGCACCACATATGTCCGTGACAAGACACCAACACTTCAACAGCTGCTGCAGTGACAAGACACCAACACTTCAACAGCTGCTGCAGTGACGTGACACCAACACTTCAACAGCTGCTGCAGTGACAAGACACCAACACTTCAACAGCTGCTGCAGTGACAAGACATCAACACTTCAACAGCTGCTGCAGTGACAAGACACCAACACTTCAACAGCTGCTGCAGTGACAAGACACCAGCGCTGTCACACAACGCCAACACCATACATGACATGTAACACACTTGTGATGTTACACATTTGTGATATTACACTCATATATCATCACACTACTAGCTTCTCTAGAGACACATGTAACAATACGGAATTTTATGTTTCCGTCCAACTATGGCTTGAGGTTAATGAAGACATTAGGTAGAGGCAATATTAGTATCGCTACCGCTTATGCATAAGTACTGAAATAAATTCACTGAACGCAATTATTTAATACAAAAATATCTTTGGGTTGAGTAGCACATGAATTGATCTACAATTCGAAATCATAAAACATGAGATAAGGCAAAAGTATCATTATCTTAACGCAGAGGCCGCCAAACTACGGCCCGCGGCTAGGTTCCATCCGACCGGCCGAGGATATCTCGTAGTTCAACATTATGCGTACAAAACAGAGAGTGGCGTTTATTTATGTTTATTCATTTCTGTTACGCATGAACTATAAACAGTAAATGAGCGTGACCGGCCGGCGAAGGTTTCAAAAAGCTTGCTCTTGGCCCATGGTGAAAAAAGTTCGGAGGCCCCTGTCTTAGAGTACCTAATAAAATTGACGTTGTACTGAGGATCCTAGCAGGACTCACGCGTTAAGGAGAGCAGACATGTCAGGAAAGCCTCCTCCTGTTCCTCCTGCAGCTGGTGCTCCTCCAGCAGCGGGTGGGGGAGCCGTCGCGGAGGCGGAGGACGTGGCAGATGGAGCGGCTGCTGGGGCTCCTCCTCCTCCAGCTACACCACTCGACAAAATGTTTGTCATCCTGCCCACCAAACACAGTGCTGTACGTCACACCCATAAAAATAGAGGTTTCATTGTGTCCAATTTATTGACACTTTCTTATACGTCACACCCAGAAAAATTAACCCGTCATTATGTCCAATTTATTGACACTTTCTTCTACGTCACACCCAGAAAAATTAATGTGTCATTATGTGCAATTTATTGACACTTTCTTCTACGTCACACCCAGAAAAATTAACCCGTCATTATGTGCAATTTATTGACACTTTCTTCTACGTCACACCCAGAAAAATTAACCCGTCATTATGTGCAATTTATTGACACTTTCTTCTACGTCACATCCAGAAAAATTAATGTGTCATTATGTCCAATTCATTGACACTTCTTTATACGTCACACCCAGAGAAATTAATGTGTCATTATGTCCAATTTATTGACACTTTCTTATACGTCACACCCAGAAAAATTAATGTGTCATTATGTCCAATTTATTGACTTTTTTATACGTCACACCCAGAAAAATTAACCTTTCATTATGTCCAATATATTAACACAATTTCTTATGCGCAGCACAAGCAGAGAATGCGCGTATCAGTGACACGCCATTTTGCCAGGCCAAATTTTCTCGGGATCCATACAAGGGCTTAAAGTTAATCGCTATTATGACAAGTGTCGTATCTCAGAGTGCGGGAAAAACTGGCGAAAACTTGAATGAAGCAAATAACTCGCTTGCTATGTTGTCTCAGATGACATGTTGAGGTGATGCTTACATGTTCTGCATGTTGGGGTCGGACATGAGCTGCGTAGCAACGTTCATGAGGGCTGGGTTTGCCAAGAACCCTGACAGATCAGGAGCCCCGGAGCTGTTGAAGGCGCCAGCAAGGCCTGCCAGACCACCTCCCCCCGACACTGTCACACGCGCACTAATCTTAACAGACGGTACTATGCTCTTATATATAATAATTATATGGAACTGCGCCGCCCACGGCCACGCTCGTGAGGCACCTTTGATAATCACATACGTAATCGCAATGGGGGCATTCAAGAGTTGACAAAATTGTATGGTGTCTCACAAATAGATTAGGCGCTGTATTGTTAACGCTTTCAAGTGCATACAATTTAACAAACTGGCATATGATTTTATCAACTTGGTCATTGAGGCATCTGGCTTGTCACAAGAAGACTTTTACATTCGTTACACTTATAATAAAGTGAGTAATTTTTCTCCTGCCAAATTGATCAATTGAAAGATATGGAGCAGGGGCGGCTCCTGTAACAAGAAACTCACGCAGGCCAGCAAGAGGATTGGCGGGCTGTTGGGCGCTAGCAGCAAGAGCCTCCTCTGCGATGGATAAGTTGGATGCGTAGCTCTCGTTCTCAGGCTCGAGTTCTAGCGCCCGTTTGTAGCAGTCGCGTGCTTCAGTTAACTTGTTCACGTTGCTGTACGCCAGCCTGCACAACATCGTCCTTATCAGCACATTGACTTCAGTGACACAACAAGAGAATAATCAGTTAGACAAACATCGCCATCACCATATTATGATATTTTTTGTGAAGTACCGTAGCGAACAGGATCACACAGTATACATATCATCAGCAAAATGCATGACATTCTTGAAGATCAAATAAATGTTGTATCAGACAGTTGCAGTAAACCAGTGGTTCCTAAACTTTTTCAGGCTGGCGCCCCCTTGGCTCCTCAGTGGATATCTAGCGCCCCCCACACACAGACACATATAAAAACAAACGCCTCTTTCTTGATATTTAGTATAGGTACTGATATTTTAAAGGAGAAAGGTTAAACACAAATGTGCATTTCACAAATAGAACCCGATTTACCATAGAAAAAAAATATTTTTAAGCAGTTTTAACTGTTTCAGCACTAGAAACCCAGGACGACTTGGATAAATTTACGGCCGGACTAGTGGCCGGTCTCATGGGCGGCCAATCTCCAAATTCAATTATCAAGGAATATCTTACAAACTAAACTTCAAACTGCCGCCCCCCTACCGCCACTTTCTTCCTCACTGCCCCCCAGATCCTTCACTGCCCACTTTGGGAACCACTGCAGTAAACAGACCAAGTCACCTATTCTTCCATTAAGATTTATGGTCAACTCGCAGATGTCTTCCGAAAGCATTTATAGTTTAATGATGGTATTTACTATACATACTGTAGAGTGTCTGTCATGAATAGTAATAAGGTAGCAATTGTGTTGTGAAGGCTGGTCAGCAAATGAGAAAAGTTTGCACGAGCTGCTCACCCCATCCTGCCGTAAGCTTTACTGTAGTTAGGTTCAAGGTTCAAAGCTTTCTTGCAGTCCTCGATGGCAGCATTGTGGTTCTCAAGCTTGCTGTGGGCTGCTGCTCTGTTGCAGTAGTAAACTGCGTTGTGTGGGTCCTTTTCTATTGCTCTGTTTTGAAATTAATTTTCATGTATTAAAAAGTATATACATATTTCTCTTAGGTGTAAAAGCACTAAATTTGAAGTAGGTACTCCATTACAAGAACAGATGTAGAAGCTAAGGTCGATCTCATGAAAAATAATACGAGTAAGAGGCCGGTAGTAGCATTTAATTTACATAAAATATATCACAAAAAAAATACATCACAGAAAAATACATCACAGAAAAATATATAACAGAAAAATATATACCTAACAGAAAAATACATCACAAAAAAATGCATCACAGAAAAATACATCACAGAAAAGTACATCACAGAAAAATACATCACAGAAAAATACATCACAGCACAGAAAAATACATCACAGAAAAATACATCACAGAAAAGTACATCACAGAAAAGTACATCACAGAAAAATACATCACAGAAAAATACATCACAGGTAAATATACCTACATCACAGAAAAATACATCACAGAAAAATACATCACAAGTAAATACCTACATCCCAGAAAAATACATCACAGAAAAATACATCCCAGAAAAATACATCACAACAACTCACTGAGTATAAGACTGTATAGAGGCAGCAAAGTCCCCTTCCTTCATTCTTGCATTCCCCTCTGCCTTGAGTTGCTCTGCCCGAGCCTTGTCTTCATCAGTTGGCAGCTGAGTGCTGCTGCCGCTGGCTTGTTGCTGAGGTATGCTGGAATTCACACACTGCACAAGATCATCAACATGTTAAAATTTAATAAGCTGTTTATTGTTTTTAAAACTCTCATATTTCAAATGATTTAAGGATGAAAAGATGTGTGCTGTGAAAAAAGTTATTTTAGGACGTAGATTAAAAACTCACCCCAAGGTAAAACTTCTTCAATGGCAAGAATTTTACATTAAGTAACAATGGACTTTTGATCACATTTAGATTATTTAAAATTTGATAACAACAGTAAAATGGAACTCAAAGGTGTGAAGTAAACATCAGACGGTTTTAGATTACTTAAAATTTGATAACAGTAAAATGGAACTCAAATACAGGTGTGAAGTAAACACCAGATAATTTTAGATTATTTAAATTTTGATAACAACAGTAAAATGGAACTCAAAGGTGTGAAGTAAACACCTGACGATTCAGAGCTTCAGAGAAGATGGCATAAAGCTCAACATTAGGTGCAGGTGAAGCAGGTAGATTGTAAGCCGTCTCGAGACACTGTAACGCCACCTCCACACTCTCGGCTGCCTCTGCCCCCAACGCCGTCTCTCCCTGTGCCAGCTCACTGCGTAGGAACTCCACAAAGGAGTGCACTAGCTGCTTGCTCACACTTCTGTTAACAAATTTAAATTTTGTATAATATAAATTCTGTATAATTTTAAATTCTGTATAATATAATTCTGTATAATATAAAAATTTAAATTCTGTATAAATTCTCAATATAAAAAATACTAGTCAAAACAGGAATTATTTTGCAGGGAAAAAAAGCAATAAAAATTACCAATAGGTACAAGATTATGACAGGAAATTCAAATAATTAATGGGTTTGTTATATAAACATGATAATTCAAATTATTAAAACAATTTATTTTACTAGGCATCAATTTTTTAAGCAAAAAATATAAAATTTAGTCACAAATAGACAATAAATATCTTGAAATAAAATCAAGATTCAAAATCATGTCAAATTCTATTAGCTCTTAGTTAAATTTATCCCAACTGTGTAATCCAACCTAAAATGAATTAAATCAAGCATTAATGCTTCATTATGTAATCAAAAATATTGTGGACTATGACAAAAAAATCTATCCAAATGAACAATTAGGGAAATGATTCAAAATTAATTTTATTTACAGTAGCTCAAGTAGTACGTACATTTTAATAGTACATTTTTAGTAGTACATTTAATTTTCCCACAGTAGCTACAGTAAAAATAATAATAATCTTCATGTTATTATTATTATAGTATTTTGCCACAAAAAATTTAATTAAATTAAAGTGATCAAAATAAAAATCTACCTACATAACAATGAGCAAACAATATACATACAATTCTCAAAAAATGAGCATGAATTTCCATTCATGGAATTCTATACATAACTATTTTGCTGCAAGAACCCTATCATTATTTTTCTTTACATAATTAATCAACACCAATGAAATCTACTCACCTGTTCATTGTTGTTGATTGAATTAAAACCAAGTAGAATGTCCTAGAAAAATTAAATCTTTTTTATGCTGAAATAATTCTTGAACTCATCTGCTTCTAGAAGAAATTAGAAAAGGAAATTCAAATTAGATCACAACATTTTTCAGGACAATATTATTATTTGTGCAAGCATTCCTAAGTCTATGGTGTCTTTAATTCTTTAATGTGATGCCAGTGAACAGTTCATGTCAACTTGAAGCTAAAGATGATGGATGTTCTACTTCATTGGCACATAGTATAAAATGGACCAAGAGCAACAGGCATTATTGAATCCTGCTGCAGGATTGAAATTTTCCTAATTATTACCAACATTTTTTGGCTCCTAAGTTGGCTAAGCAAAAGTGTGGCTTTTTGGCTAAGCAAGGTTTTTTGCTTAGAAGCCACACCTTTCCACAGGTGGCTTCTAAGCAATTTTCTAATTTGGCTTTTTGGCAAGTTTAAAGTATCTTCACAGCAGAGTGACAAACCACAGAAATTGAACTTGACAAAGAGTCTAAAAAGTCTCTGCATTGATACTAGGTCTACTTCTATTAAGTCAACATACAATTTGAGCCATGACTAGAGCCATATTTGGAGCTGCAAAATTAATGCTAGATAGATCATCTCCTATCTTATTATAAAAAAAGAGACCATTTCACATATGGGCTACTAGATTTTAAACATAATAAAAATTTGTCACTTTGAAGCTTAAGATTCAAATAATAAGTACCGGTAGGGAAATTCCACTCCTATTTAAACTTACTTTAAAGTTACGGTATCTAATCTCAAATATTGGGTATAATTTTCTTAAAATCATCTTGTTTAAAAAATATTGTTTTGCAAGCAATTTTTCAAAATTGAATTTGAAAATATGTTTTTAACTTTTTATGGAAGAAATTAAACATGAGACTTAAAAATTAAAATGAGCATAGTGGCAAAGCCCCTCCCTCAAGTTCATTTCTGAGTCCTATAAGCTTAAGCTGACCAGCAAAGTACCATATCATGGATATCAGCATTACCCATAGGTACATGATATTGTTTAAATTTTGAGTAAATGAGGAAATTGAAAATTAAATGATTGTAAAAAAATCTCTGGTTTGTCGGTTTGACTTGCACTTTGCAATTAATGCGGCCGATGCCTAATGATTGACACAGATGCATGCACTTTACAATCAATGTGGCCAATATCCAATGATCAACACAGAGGAATGTGCTTTACATTCGATTTGGCTGATTCCTGATGATCAACACAAATGCACTTGCTTTACAATCAATTTGGCCCATGTCTGATTATAAACACTGACGCAAGTGCTCTATGGTAGATGTGGCTGATGCCTGATGTTTGAGACTGACACACGCACTTTATGATTGATATGGCCAATGCCTGAAGATAGAGGCAGACAGACTTAGTTTACCATTGATTTGGATGAGGCTCAATGACCAACACAGATACATGCACTTCACAGTCGGTGTGGCCAACACCTGATGATCACATAACATTGATATTGATGCACATGCTTTCCATCCGATTTGGCCAATGCCTGATGATCAACATGGATGCAGATGATTAAAGATCAATTAGGCCAATTCCTGTTAATTGTAAAGGTACTGATGTACATGCTCTAAGATCAATTAGGCCAATTCCTGTTAATTGCTAAGGTACAGATACACATGCTCTAAGATCAATGTGGCCAATTCCTGTTAATTGCCAAGGTACAGATGCACACATGCTCTAAGATCAATTAGGCCAATTCCTGTTAATTGCCAAGGTACAGATGCACATGCTCTAAGATCAATGTGGCCAATGCCTGTTAATTGCTAAGGTACAGATACACATGCTCTAAGATCAATGTGGCCAATGCCTGATGATCGGCATGAACACACACACTTTACAATCAATTTGGCCATTGCCCAATGATTGATACTGACACACACATTCTAAAGTTTTTGTGACCAATGCCTGATGATTGACACTGATGCATGTGCTTTACAATTTATTTGGCCAATGCCTGATGATTGGCACAGACGCAGGTGGTTTATGATCAATGTGAACAATGCCCAATGATGAACACTGACGCACATGCTTTATTATCAATGTAGTTTAGCACAAAACATATTACACAACACATTATAACAAAAATTATCATAAGATATTATAACATAAGACTACACATTATAACATAACAGAATATATTGTAACAAATCCTAATACCACACATTGTAACACAACATAATAAAACAGAACATATTGTAACACATAATATAATAGAACACATCATAACACAACAAAAGAAATTAATACATAACATAACACAGCACAACAGAAAAATATATAATACAACAGATTATGCTACATTTTAATGTCTTGGGTTACATTAGGTTTGATATAAGTGTTGTGATGCGTTTTGTTATGTTGTTATACTACTGTGCTATGTTATGTGTTCTGTTATATTATATTGTGTTATAATGTTTTCTGTTATATTATGTTGCATTATGTAATGTTGTGTTACAATGTGTTGTACTAGGTTATGTTGAGTTATAATCTGTGGTGTTACATTATGATTTGTTATACAGCAATCCCTTGATTAACGCGGTTAATAAATCCCTGAGTTTTACCGTGTTAAGCAAAACTGCGCTAATCAAACTTAAGAATATATGGGAATAATTATAATGAATCCTCAAAAATAGCAAAGTTACATAATAATTTTTTTTCCACTAAAATTCATCATATTTTTTTTCTTAATAATAGGGGAAATAAATAAAAGAAATGCGAATGAAGTAACATTTATTATTTACTGAAAAACGAATCCAATTTCAATTGCACAGTAGATTTCTTTCTCTCCTGCATAATTGTGCGATAGCAATTCACTTGCCTATCCAGGCCAGTAGTGAGCAGTAGATATGGCAGCGATCTTGACCAGTTGAAGGCTAACGAGTAACTAGAGCATCGGCATGGCGCACTTACCGGCGAACGTTGCCGAACTCGACCATTCGAGTTATGAACGAGACAAGGCGCGGTTAAACCGACTCTGTAGTCAGCACAAGTACCTACGGAACGGGACCTTATTTGAAGAATTATTGGCTGAAATTCATAAAGTAACAACATTTGGCAAATTTTTCCAAAAGTCATAACAAAAGTAACAACATAAGATCTAATAAGCAAAAAGTAACACTTTTGTTACGAACGTAACACCTCTGGCTAGAGGCGGGAAAATGATGCGTTGTGAAAAAAAAGTCACGCTAATCAAAACTGGCACCGCGTAGATTAAGGGTAGGGCGCAAATTTTTTTTCCGCGTTAATCAAAACCGCAGTATTCAAAACCGTGCTAATCAAGGGATTACTGTATGATGTTTTTTCATGATATGTTGCATTACAATGTGTTCTGTTGTGATATGCTGCGGTAAAATTTGTTATGTTCTTCCATGTGTTATTTTATGTTATAATGTGCAGTGTTATATTACGTTGTATTACAATGTATAGAATTAAATTGTTGTGGAGTTACAGTATTATATGTGTGTGGTTACAGTATTACAATGAGTTGAGTTATGTTAGGATGTATTATAATGTGCTTGGTTATGATATGTTGCGTAATAATTTGTGGTGTTATGTTTTGTTACAATAGGGTAAACGCGGTATATTCCGACATCGTAGGTAATTCCGTCACCTCTCCAGCTTTTCCTTTATATTAAGCTTTGTTTTAGTTGCATGCATTTGTTGATGGTTGAAATGATGACGTCATACATTTGCGCGTCGAACTAATGCCAAAACACTAGGTCTTGGCCATCTAGTGGGAAAATATTGAGATCCAAAGAGAGACAATGCATGCCACGTGGTGAGATCATCGAAAAATGTGTCAAATTTGACAGTTGACATGGCTCTACCAAATAGTGAATAAATGTTTTTATAGGAAGAATATTATGGTTTGAGACTTTTAAATACGTCTGTGAATATATTAGGAATCCTTTAAGTATACTTGTATTCGCCGATTTCAAGTCGTAAATAAATTAATAGATGATTAAGTTGATGTTTCATCATTGCTGACGCGTAGTGAAGTGTTTTGAGAGTCATGTGAAGGCAACAGAACTTACATAACGCATACGTTTTTTTTATAGTTTTTCATTTCTCGATGCGTCCTTAATGTGTCGGAATATACCGCGTGTACCCTATATTCTGTTATGTTATGATGTGTTGTGTTATGTAGTGTTGTTTTGTTGTGTTATGCCACATTAATTGTAAATTGTGTGCGTCAGTGTTCATCAGGCAACAGTTACATTGATCATAGAGCAAGTGCATCAGTGTCAGTCATTGGGCATTGACCAAAGTCACCAAAATGATTGTAAAACGTGTGCATCAGTGTTGATCATCAGGCATTGCCTGAGCAGCCTAGCAGGCATGCCGCATGAATATAAGTATCTACTTGGTGAGCAGCAACTGGATTTTTCGAGCCACTGTGCAGAGAGTGAACGAAGATTTAAAGACCTACGGCGACGCATTATCGGCAAAATTTTCGCCTTCAGAAGATCTTGCCGACACATATAGATTGAAATTCTTGCATTTAATATATTTCTCAGTCTTCAGCCAACTATTTAGAAAAAAAGTAAGGTTTCCGGTACATTGGATGGATTACGATGCAGCGAAGCTTGTCCGGAAATCAGTTGCGATGAGTTCCCGCAAAAAATGTAAACAACATTTTTTGATTGCGTAGTTTCGGTCGCATTAGAGCGGTCAGACTGCTTTATTACTTGTTCAGTTGACACTTGCTGTACAACCGGACTGTTTTTAGGGTAAAATTAGTTATTTGGTGTAACACGTGCATGGAACCTTGTAATAAGTTTGTGGCTTGTAAATAGTTCGTCATTACTCAGCGTAAATGGCTTTTCATTAAAAATTACCCGGCAACGCATCTTTAAAATGGCCGGCAACGCTTTGGGCTTAAAAATCCATATATTGCCGACGCTGCATCCACCCTCTGCATAGTGGTTTTCGAGCCATGTTTGAATGGATTTGCCAACTGTGATTCCATTTCTTTGAGCCATGAATTCCATATCTTCGACACAAAGAGCCATTTACAAGCCACAAACTTATTTATTAAGTCCTGTGCATGTGTTGCCCCAAATCTCTAATTTTACCCAAAAGACAGTCAAACAGCAATAAAATTTTCTTTGCTTTGGTGGCAAATGGGAAGAGGCAACTGAACATGTGATAATGCTGTCTGACTGCTTTGACATTAATGCAACTTAGTTGCGGCCTGCGGGAAAGTCAAAGTCACTGCCTCACTGATATACCTACCATGTCACATCATCATCTCACGGTCAGTGGCAGTGCACTCATGCACTGTCAGTGAGGTACTCGTACTGTAACTGTGGTAGTGGTACACCCGACCGGACACCGTTCCGTACATACAACTCAACTGGCAGTTGAGTAATATGTACGGAACAGTGTGGTTCACCAGTTGACTACTGCCTACTGGTAGTGGCCAGTCGTTCCCAGACTCAGAGAATTTTTCATCAATCCGTCATAATTAGTCATCATTCAATACTCTCAAAAGCAATGAAAATAAATTTATAGATGAGAGCTCCTCTTTTGACATAGCACTACTGCCACTACATGTACAGTGGGGGGAAATAAAAATTCGTACACTTGAAAAATCGTATTTTAATGTATGTAAGTACACAAAATTAACAGGAAAAGTGATTTAAATTATGTATAGAGATGCATAGTATTCAAAAACACTATCAAAAGAAATTAAATCTCAATGCAACAAAAAACAATGCAACATGTTTGCTCCTTGACGAATTTCAGCCTGGCATCTCGATGTCGTTTCATTAGGAGTGGGGTCTTTCTTGGGGTGCGTGATTTTAATTTGTTTCTGTGAAGTTCATTGCTTATTGTTTCGTTTGGTTACTACTTACTTGAATTCCTGAGGCACTCAGGTGACTTTGCAATTCTCCTTGAGTAATCTGTGGATTTTCTTGGATTTTTCGTCCCAATAATCTAGCAGATTGTGCAGAAATCTTCCTAGGAGCACCTGATCGTCTTTGGTTTTCAACGCTGTCACGGGTCTTGAAGCGTCCAATGAACAAAGCAACTGTACTAAAAGGAACATTCAAGTGGCTAGCAATCTTCCTATAACTTTCTCCTTCCTTCCAACGCGATAGAATTAGTTGTTTGTCTGGCGGTATTTGAAGATTCAAATTAAGAAAAGGTCCCCAACAAACATTGAGAATCCTAACCTAAGGTGGTGTGCCAAGAAGAATGGTATAAAATACCAGTCAGCATCTGCAAATCATTGGTCGAGACGTATAGGAATAGACTGGTGTCTGTTGAGCGGAATAAAGGGTATTCAACCAAGTATTAAATTAAAATAATGCAGATTTATTGTTTTGTACGAATACTTTTTTCACCCCGAAAAGTAAACATGTTGCATTGTTTTTTGTTGCATTGAGATTTAATTTCTTTTGATAGTATTTTTGAATACTATGCGTCTCTATACATAATTTAAATCACTTTTCCTGTTAAGTTTGTGTACTTACATACATTAAAATACGATTTTTCAAGTGTACGAATATTTATTTCCCCCCACTGTATATCAGCATCACTAAAAACGAGTGAAACGACTATTACCGCGACGCAGCCTCGCAGGTGAAGTAATCACACGACACTGGCTCGCAAGTCATCCAACACGGAAAACAACGTTTGTCCGTCTGTACTGTCCCAGCAAACTCGAGGTAATACATGCTTTCACAACTTGAGCTGTACAGTGTGTAAGGGTTCTGTAGAAATTTTCGACATTGCTTTGTTAACGATATGTTAATAAACTAATTGAGATATATCTTTAGCATTACGCCTATTTTTATTTAAAAGAAACATTGAATCCACCCGGTCTTATTTGAGTCGCACTGTATGTCGAGAAATCCAAGCAAAAAAATTATTTCGAATTGCGTAGATATCGTGAACCGCTACCATCAGCTGATTTGTTATAGTTAGACCACCACTAGGCAGTAGGCAGCATACGCCGCAGCAGTGCGCCCTCATTAGGTTATTAGAAATCCAAACGTCGCGTTCTGATCCTGCTGCGGAGTGCTGCCTAACGACTGCTGTTAAATCCTTCTCGTTCACTAGAAAAGTTGAGTGTAAATTTTTAAACTACGCTGACAGATTTCCCAAGCTATACTTTTTATTGTTACAAATATTTAACGTACTCGCATGATTCGAATCAATCATAGTGGGCCTATATTAGTGGCCAACAGCATCAAATGTGTTTCCAATTTTTTATGTCTTTATGGCTGCTGGCATCAATGAAACTTTACTAGTAAATAGTAATCTACTGTCAATGTCACTATCGTCGCCATAGCTGTTATGTCGCCGCCCTTTAATAAAAACGATATAGGTATTTTGTAAGCAAAAAAGAACCACAATTTTTTAGCGCTATCGAAAAATCTTCTTCGTTATTATGTGGCAACTGAACCCTACACATTGTAAATCTGACCAGTGAAAAAGGCTCAAATAGCTACGTTTTTATTGGCGACTGGCGAGCGTCTGGTTTATTGCAGCAGCTGCTAAGTTGGTACTTGGTACCTAAGTGACACCATGGTGGCAGGGAATTATTGTGAGTACTTATGCGTTTGCAAGAGCATCGCCCGGTCCGGCTCAGCGGGGGGTGCTGCATGCATTCAAATTCAAATTAGGTCCACCCACACCCCACGGCCAGTGTAGCTGTCACTCTGTCAGCTCACCTTCTTCAGAAGTGTGAAAGCTTTTGCCGGTGAAGGTTGTGTTTTACGATCGGTCCATAAAGAAGTGTTGATCGGTTCAAAATGACATAAGAACAGGTTCTTTTGAATAACCTATGGATTGGCACCATGAGTGACACTGTGACAGCAGTCACAGACTCACAGCACATTTTAGCAAACAAGATATTTCTTTAAAATCAGTTAACTAAATTTTAGTTTACTTATGATATAAAAAATTCCTTCCTAATTTTCCATCCTGTGCAGAATAGATTCAATAGATAAGGCTTATCTACACAAGATTTAAACCAACATTTTTGGTGATAAATATTCTAGTAGTAGTGCAGTGGCAGAGAGATTTTTTTAGAATTGGTTCATTTTTAATTTCCTCATGTCAATAGGAAATTTCCTTCATATCTTGTTTAGATAAGGATTATCTACTCAAGACTTAAACCAATATAGGCTACCTACCTATGATACTTTGCTGGTCTACTTATGAGTTATGATAAAACTCAAAAATTAACTTGAGGAAGAGTCATCTGCTTCACTATCTAGGCAAGTGGCAACCTATGTTATGCTATGGTATGTGGTCATTGATGCTCTATTAACAAGATTCTGAATCTCATTTCCAAACAACTACCTACCTAAATTTTGTCTTGTAGACTGGTTTACCACTATCACTACTATCACTATGCAGCAGAGCGCAGAGAAACTACAGAGTTGTGAATAATGAATGTGCTAATAAAATAAATAAATAATATGTTTATAGTGTTTTTAATGGATAATTTTTAAAATTTTGCATTGTCATTCTACTTTTCTGTTCTGCTACCAGACCTGCTCAGAAAGTTTTAGAATAATGGAGTAAAATTGAACATCATGGCTTTTGTGGTGCCTACTGAGCAGGCCATTTGGCCTGGAAATGCCAAATGGTACATAAATGAAGATGGTGAACTCTCCCCATGCTCCCTCAAAAAGCTTACTCTTAGTTTCATTACTGAAAACCTTGGATCTGTGTGCAATGTGGAATGTGAAGACCCAAGAACTATTTACTGTGCTGCTCCTATTGCTAGTGCCTCTTCAAGAGAAAGCATTCAAAGGTACAGAGAAGCAACTGGAGGAGGTGCTGGAAAGTCAGCTTGTGATAGAGATCTTAAGGTCTTTGCTCGCACTAGTAGTCATAATTCGCTCACTGAATCCAGTGTAGTTAATGTTAATGGTAATGGCATCAAAGTTAATAGCACTTCAGGAACTGGTGGAAACTTCACTCCACGGAATGGCACTCAGGATCAACGACTTATCCCATACACAATGTTTAATATACCAAACTATGGAAGAGTTTATGATAAATCTAATAGCACTGACCCTCCTAGTGAAAATGCTGAGCGTTTGGACCTCTTCAAAAGGGACTTCTTTCATTTTCAGTGGAGGTAAGCAAATGTAATATACATGCTGAAAAATGTAAAGTTTGTAAACATGAATTTTTGAAGTCATTTGTTTCAAACCTTTAAATGTAATGGCTATAATTACTACACCTATTTACTACTTTCATGTGTATTCTTTATGAAGAATCAAATTTTGTTGCCTAAAGTTTCTCTAGAGGTATTCTAATATGTCATTAATTTGATTGACTTTGTTAATATTTCATTATGTCTTGCAGACAACCTGATGTTTATTTGTCACCTCGCACGGTTGCCATGTTTCTGGAGGAGCTTGACAGATGTGGCATGCTCAATGATTCTACACTCAGCCTGTTTGATACACCTCGCATGCAGCTCAATGAGGTGCATGTTTTTTAAGTTCTTTATAGTCTGTAAATTGCTATTTTAAATCAAATTTGAGTGCTTCTATATGTAGGCAATTCCTCTATAGGTATGTAGTAATAGTCTAATCCCAATTTCATAGGATTTGGAGAAGAAAAAAGACCTATCACTGGGATGACTTTTAACCCCTTGTAATTGTGGTTAAAAAACAATATGAAACTCATGATTTTTCAGTAGAAATTTTTCACATTGCTATTGTTTTTTCTTAGAGTACTGACTAGAAATGAAGTCAAGTATTGACTAGAAAACTTGCTCATAATACATAATATGTGCTGAGGTGCAGAATTCTGCAATCAATATTAGTCTAAGATATTATTTTATAATAAATTGGTAAAAAGTTCTCTCAAGTTTTTGCTTGCAAGGTGTTGCACAATGTCACTTACCTACTCATCTCATATTTAGCTTTATTCTAAACTTGAGTCAATAAATTCAGTTTTCAACAAATTGATTCTATATTTCAGGTCCGAATTCATCGTTGTGGCTCTCTCATCTCTGCTCGAGGCCTGAATTTCCTCATTCACAACAAATTATATCGCCTTGAATTGCATGGCTTGCAAATTCCCATCAAATTTGTCATCAACAGCCTCAATTCTTGGACAAAAGCCAACCTTTCTGTTCTATCCTTAGTTTCCTATGCACCTTCTGACAGGCAAAGTGCTTATAAACGTGAGTCGTGACTTTGAAATTCATTCAAAATTATTAATGAATGATGTACGTATATTTTGCTTATTGATTAGTAAGTACATTGTAACTTAGAGATTACACCATTATAGGACTTACCATTATTGTGAATAATTTGAATTGTTTCGTATTTGTTTTCCATCAATAACAAATAATAGCTAATGACAAATATTTTGCACTCATTTCTTTGAATTGCATACATAATAAATTTTAGCCTCTTGCATTCATTTTCTCATTTTTAAAACTTTCAATGAGGTACCATAAGATGAACTGATATCTTTCATCCATCCAGCCAAATATATGGTAAGCTGCCCTCCACTAATGCTGTGCAGCATTTATGGAAACAATTGAGCTCGTATTAATATACATGAAAATTATTTTTTCAGAACTACATCGTCTGCAAAGTCTCCAAGAACTTGACTTGAGTAACAATAATTGCCTCGACCCAGCATCATTAAAAATGTTGTTATTGAGGCTGCCAAACTTGCATAGGTTGAGTATCAGTCACTGCGTGAACGTCAATACAATTGAACCTTTGATGGTGGTTTGTGATCAACTGCAGCATCTCAGCCTATCAGGAGTGATGATCCACGACACGGCCATTACCATCAGTGTGCTCAAGACATTGACGAGACTTCGCTTCCTAGACGTCAGCACTGTGGCCACTAACCATGATGTTAGACATGAAGAGGTATGTTTCCCCAGCATTATGTTATGCCAGAATGATAATGTAACACTTATCATTATTCTCTCACCCCTTTAAATTTGCATCATATGCTGTTTTTTAATCCTCATCATATTCACTGGTTAAAAATCCAGTAACATTTTACATTAGGGAAAACAGTACTGAAAACCAACAATTTCTATTGGACAGTTGAAGGCTATTTACAATTTTGATAGCATTATCAAAATGAACCAATGAACTCATTTCGCAACTAGATCGTACTTATTATACCAGTTGATTGTAAGTGCTGCACAAAAATGCTGATTTAACCTCTTTAATTTTACCTGCATAACCTCTATTTCCTGAATAACCTCTTTAATTTCACCTGCAGTGCATCAATGAGGTGCTGATGAGCCCACACTTTGCACCTGATCTGGAGTTCATTGACGTGTCTAATCAACTGGAGGTATCAGAACAAGTCCTCCTCAGCTTCCTGTCAACGCATCCTAACGTCAAGGGCGTGGCGCTCGTCAACGTGCCGCTGTGTGCTGACTTCTGTACTTCCAAGTGGCCTCAAGTTAAGGTACCTGTCACTCAATAGAATTACGAGTATTTTGAAACTTCATTATTCATAGGGGAATTGCAAGCTGCTTTGGTGTGCCGTCTGAATAATTAATCGATTTCATTTAATTTCCCGAACTTTGCTCAAAATCGTTACTGCAGTTGCGGAGTGACGTCGTGAGCTTCAAAAGTGACGTATACTAATTCCTTCATTGCCGTCCAGTTCCTGAGTAACGTCGTGAGCTTCAAAGAGTACCGTATATTAATGTTTTCAATGCATTCCCTTCCCTGAGTGACGTCATGAGCTTCAAAAGTGAGGTATACTAATTCCTTCATTGCCGTGCAGTTCCTGAGTGACGTGAGCTTCATAAGTGACGTATACTAATGTTTTCAATGCAGTCCCTTTCCTGAGTGACGTCGTGAGCTTCAAAAGTGACGTACCGGTATACTAATTCTTTCATTGGCGTGCAGTTCCTGAGTGACGTGGGCAGCAGTGAGGGCGACGTGTGTGTGCTAGACCGTCTGACGGAGTGCATGCAGCACTACAGGCGCCGGCACGTCCTGGCCCAGCAGATGCTTACCCTCGTCAGCGCTGCTCCTGCATCGTCACCTTCCAAGCCTCAGCCTAAACTTGTTGCGGTATGTGCCTTCATGTTGGTCTATAATTGCTAGGACCTTAGTTTATTCATTATTTATTCTGCTGTTGTAGTTAATTCCTTGTGAATCCATGTGCATTTTTTTTTAATCCTGCATTTGTTGTTCATTTATTTTGATTTTATTTACAGCTTATTTTCTGAGTCTCCATTTGCTGTTAATTTCTTCAGTTACAATTTTTCTCGCCAGGATTTGAAACTGCAATGATGTTTATTGTATGCTACTCTCCATTTCTACTTATCATTGTTGATGTGAGGGAAGTCTTCAACTCAAACCGAACTTTCATTGTTTACTAAGGAAGATAGTTTAAGTTTTCTTCTAGAAAATAAAATGAACCCCCGCAAGAATTCCAATCACATAAGCGATATTTGTTTGATCCAGTAATTTTCTCTGATTAGTTAAGGTGCGCGCCAGTACTTTTAAAGAGCTGCCAGCAGCTAAATAGTTTGCTATTTTTCTGGCTGTGTTGTGTTTAGTGAAGGAAATCCTTTAAGCTGGTCGCATATTACTTGAACCAGTATTAATATTGGCTACTTCCTTTAAGACATGACCCCGTTGACCCGCGTATCTGAATTGCACAACTATTCACTTTATTACGGAAAGCTTCCAGTGGTTGCTGCTTTAGTTTGGCGCCAGTTCATTTTTGTTCATTGATTTTTTTATTTAATAATCAACCTTTCATGTGAATACAAATATTCTAAAAGAGAAAGTTTACCAGCGAAATTTCGAATGATCTGTTTTATCATAAAGTAGTGCGTTTGGTATACTGGTGTCCCAATACGCAGCAGTGGAATATCATAGTTGGTACACATATAACACAGTACACGAAGGTGTTGAATCGTTGAAACTAATGATTGAACTTATTATTTTCAGAGCATCTTGCAGTGCATGGAAGACTTCCAGTCACGGGAGTATATACAGACTCTGAGCAGCGCTTGTCTGCACAACCTCACCGTGGGGAGCCTGGGTGCTGCTCTGCATCCCAACCTTCTGCGCTCTGTTGTACATGCGACCATTCACGCCATGACGCTACACGGAGACAACCATCAGGTATTGTGCTCTGTGGTACATGCGACCATTCACGCCATGACGCTACACGGGGACAACCATCAGGTATTGCGCTCTGTGGTACATGCGACCATTCACGTCATGACACTACACGGAGACAACCATCAGGTATTGTGCTCTGTGGTACATGCGACCATTCACGCCATGACACTACACGGAGACAACCATCAGGTATTGCGCTCTGTGGTACATGCGACCATTCACGCCATGACACTACACGGAGACAACCATCAGGTATTGCGCTCTGTGGTACATGCGACCATTCACGCCATGACACTACACGGAGACAACCATCAGGTATTAACAGTGTTGCTACTGGTGATTTAGCCGTGACTAAACGCGCAGGCAGTAAGAAAGGCATAACTCCTTGGAAGTTGGCTAAAAACTGTACACTTGGCGAACGGTTTTTAAAAATGTTTTTTTTTTTTTGTCAAGAGCCGTACCAGTAATACAGTTTAAAAATTAAAAGATTGGAATATTTGAAAGAAGGAATAAGCGAGAATAATGAAAAGTACCCATATAATGCAATTGCTTGTTATAATAACCTACCTATACAGTATCAGTGTGAGACAGACAAGTATGTAAACTATTTAGTGAATATTCTTTGCACATGTAGGATATGTATTCATGTCCTTAAGCTTCGAAACTTAACTTACTTCTACTCATACTGCCATCTTGAGTCAACAAGATGAAATGTACACGTGTTTTTTCCAGTATTCTCGCAAATATTCAACCATTAAGAATAACTCAAAAATAACTTTCAGCTGCAGAAGAACGGACTTCTACTGCTGTGCTGCGACTCAGTTCTGCACAACGTGTCCTTCAACCAGTACTGGGTGGCGATGAAGGCTCTGCACGCTCTGCACAGCTACGCTGATGACAGAGTCGACCTCATGGCGGTCGGCATCTGCTCCATCCTTGCCGCCAAGCTCACCAATGAGCAGACTGCTCAGCTAGGGTCAAATGTTAGTAAATAATAGTTATAATATTTAACGGTAAAGTTGCAATGCAATAAAGTTTAAAGTTGTATTCAACTAGGGTCCAATGTTAGTAAATGATACTTACAATATTTAACATTAAAGTTGCAATGCAATAAAGTTTAAAGTTGTATTCAACTAGGGTCTAATGTAAGTTATTGATAGTTATAATATTTAACGTTAGAGTTGCACTGCGGTAGCGACTCGTGGATAAAGTTTAAAGTTGTATGCATTGCAATGCTTTAGCATTAGCAACTCCTGGGTAATAAAGTTTAAAGTTGTATGCAAAATAAGCCTTGCCGCTAAGCTCACTAATGAGCAGACTGCTCAACTAGGGTCCAATGTCAGTTAATAATACTTACAATATTTAACGTTAAAGTTGCAATGCTGTAGCGACTCGTGGATAAAGTTTAAATTTGTATCCAAAATATGTGGAGCAGTATATAATACAATGAATTATCCGGGTGAATAGGCTTGATAAATGATTTACATGCGCGAGAAAGTTTTATAATTCAAGTGTTCATTTATTCTCCGGAATTCCCTAATTAACTTGATAAAAAATATTACTCTTCACTAATTCAACAAAGAAGAAAAATTAAACCCACGTTCATGAAATTGTTGCTGCCGCTGTTCAAGTGTATAATTAAAAGTTTTCTCGAGTTTGGTGGAGATCCGAGAGCTCAATTTCAGTGTTCATTAGTTAATTACCTAAATTTTAAACGACTTGACCCATATACTTGAAATTATTACAGTCACTGTGTAGGTGTAAAATTAATGTATTTTTATAGTTGGGTCTAGACCCAACTTTATTCGTAAAAACGTTCTTATGAGGTCAATGACATTATGCGAACGTTTATGGTTTCTAAAAAAACTCTTACAAGCCTCAATATCGTGTTGCATATAAGCAACCTGTATATCTGACTAATATCTTACCATGTAGAAAATCATTTGTTAATAAAGCAAGTATAGTAAAGGAACTCAAAGTTTATAATATATCTGAAATAATCATTACAAATGCTGTCCTTTTTAGGACAGTCTTTTAATAATGACGATAGCAAGATGCAATCAAACGTTATCACAATTACTGTTTGTGTTTTACAGCCTGCCTTCATGAACAAACTGCTGGTCCTGGTGAGAGGGAGAGTGCAAGAAAATAACGCAGACATCATGCTGCAGTTCACGCTGTCTGCACTCTGGAACCTTACAGGTGCGTTAGACAGGTTTTAATTTGAATGGAAATTAATAACGTACGGGTTTTCTTGTGAATGCAAATTAATAACAGACAGGTTTTAATTTGAATGGAAATTAATAACGTACGGGTTTTCTTGTGAATGCAAATTAATGACAGGTTTTAATTTGAATGGAAATTAACAACGGACGGGTTTTCTCATGACTGGCTAGCTAAGCAGTGTTGTTCCCCCAGGAGACGTCCGTGGAGACCAAGGTGTTGGGGCTCTTCAATAACGTCGCTGAGGTGCCAGAGCTGCGCAAGGAACTCCTCAAGCCTCCCTTCATCGCCATGCTCAGGTCTCGGTGTTTCTTGTGCCTTGCTCCCTCTTCTTCTCTTCTACTTACTGTCTTCTTATTTCTCACTTCCTCATTGTCTCTTCTTCTTCTTATAAGCCTCCCTTCATCGCCATGCTCAGGTCTCAGTGGTCCTTGTACCTTACTACTACTACTACTACTACTGCTTCTTGTGCCTTGCTCCCTCTTAATCTTCTCTTCCACTTCCTGTCTTCTTATTTCTCTGTCTTTTGTTCTTCCTCCAAGCCTCATTTATTTTATAAAAGATTATTTTATCTAACTCCATTTATTTATTTTATTTTCCTCCAAGCCTTCTTTATTATTTTATAGTATAGCTCCTATTGTGTGGTATAGGGTAATTCATATTATTTGTAGTATAAATAAGTCTTATTAATCGCTAAAACTTCAATTTGGTGGAAGTTACTACTGTAATGATAGAAAATTAATGTTCAATAAGTTATGTATAAGTTATAAGTTTCTGAAAACTTGTTCATTTCAAATGCTGAAGTTTCGTGATGAATTCCCTATCATCTACTCTATATAATTATCATTTGTGAACTATCGTTGAGCGATTGAGCGGTCACTTTTTTAATGCTAGAAAACTAATTTAATTAATAGTTAATAAAAACTTGTTCATATGTTTTTAGCGCATTTTCTCATTTATGGAAAAAATGCACTATTATGCTCGCCATGTCAGTCTGTCTGTCCGTCCGTGTGTCCGTCCGTCCGTCCGTGACCTCAAGTTTTCGTCGACGAGAAAATGTGCTCTCTGTCACTCACTGCAGTGAGTACTGAGTTATATTTTTTTATTTTTTTATGAAGTATTTAAAGTTGTACACGAAATAAATGTGGTGCAGGCTAAGTTATATTTTTTTATGAAGTATTTAGAGTTTAACAAGAAATAAATGTGGTGCAGGCTGAGTTATATTTTTTTATGAAGTATTTAGAGTTTAACAAGAAATAAATGTGGTGCAGTACTGAGTTATATTTTTTATGAAGTATTTAAAGTTTAACAAGAAATAAATGTGGTGCAGTACTGAGTTATATTTTTTTATGAAGTATTTAGAGTTTAACAAGAAATAAATGTGGTGCAGGCTGAGTTATATTTTTTTGAATTATTTAGAGTTTTACAAGAAATGAATGTGGTGCAGGCTGAGTTATATTTTTCTATGAAGTATTTTAAGTTTAACAAGAAATAAATGAGGTGTAGGCTAAGTTATATTTTTTTATGAAGTATTTAAAGTTTTACAAGAAATAAATGTGTTGCAGGAGGCAGCTGCAGTCTGAGCACATCGCAGTGAGCTACTTCGCTGCGGGCATCTCCGCCCACCTCGTGTGTGCTGAGCAGGCCGCTTGGCTGGCCGCCGATGATCTCCCATACAAGGAAGTCCTGGCCGAGCTTGTGAGTCAGACTCTTAAGGCGTCCTGTGCCTGCAGCTACCTTATAATTAATTAAATTTTGTATGAATATTTTGTTCAACCATTATAATTAATACAATTTTGTGTGACGATTAGCGCCATACAAGGAAGTCCTGGCCGAGCTTGTGAGTCCGACTCTTAAGGCGTCGTCTGCCTGCAGCTACATTATAATTGATCAAATTATAAAATATTTTCAATGAAAAAAACACTTAGTGGCCTCGCGAGTCCGACTCTTAAAGAATCGTGTGCCTGCAGCTACATTATTATTAATAAAATTATAAAATATTTTAAATAGAAAAAAAAACTCAGAGGCCTCGTGAGTCCGAATCTCAAGTCGTTGTGTGCCTGCAGCTACATTATTATTAATAAAATTATAAAATATTTTAAATAGAAAAAAAAACTGAGTGGCTTCGTGAGTCCGACTCTGACGGCGTCGTGTGCCTGCAGCTACAATCGTGTGCCAATCGTCGTGTGCAATTGGTCTACATCAGACAGTAATTGGTCTACATCAGACAGTAATCGGTCCATATCAGGCAGTAATTGGTCTACATCAGAGAGTATATTGGTCTACATCAGACAGTAATTGGTCTACATCAGACAGCAATTGGTCTACATCAGACAGCAATTGGTCTATTTTTGGTGCAGGGTGACGCGGTGCTAGGCTGGGAGTGTCCTATAGAGGAGATGGTTGCCTACAAATCCTTCCAGCCGTTCCTGCCGCTGCTGCATGCGTCCGGTGCCCCCTACGTGCAGCTCTGGGCGCTCTGGGCGCTGCATCACGTCACCTCTAATAACAGTGAGGACTTAGCCTTCAACTAACTTACTTACTTCCAAGTTATTTCTGTAAACGTAACTTGCTACAAAGTTATTTCTGTAAATGTATCTTGCTACAAAGTTATTTCTGTAAATGTATCTTGCTACAAAGTTATTTCTGTAAACCTTACTTGCTACAAAGTTATTGCTGTAAACGTAACTTGGTTCAAAGTTATTTCTGTTCACATAATTTGCTTCAAATTTGTTTTTATAAACGTAACTTGCTTCTAAGTTATTTCTGTAAACGTATCTTGCTTCTTAGTTATTTTCGTAAACGTAAGTATTAATTCAAGTGTTTTTCCATAAAACATCAATTGATTATCTTCTAGTGATTGAGGAAGAAATACTGCTTCCCAGTTTTTTAGTTTGAACGTTTTTAAAAATTCAAAATGTATACTTCTTCCAGGGACACATTCGATTCGGCAATGTTCACATACCAGAAGTTAGTAGGAAAGTTTTTTGACAGCAAGCTTGCCACATCATTTTGACCATCGTCTCATATCGCTCATGATTGCTACATTTTCTACATGATTACCTGTACGAAACCTCGTTAGAACATCGTTTAGATGATTTACGTAGCTGTAATCTCTATGAATTCGCTATTAATATTATTTAAATATTATTAGCGCATTTGCAAGTATTTTTACTGCCCGGTCATCATTAGATATACGTGCAAGTTAGGCGAGACATCACATGGTAATCTAATATTTTAATCATTACTCCGAGTTCTTCATAACTTTTTCCGCTGGTACAGGCGACTACTACTGCCCCATGCTCATCCGTGAAGGCATCCCTGAACTGCTGCTGACCCTGCGCGACGACGCGCCCTCCAGCGCGCCTTTCCTGCGCGACTTCGCCCTCAAGCTCCTCACCCTCGTCGCCGCCTACGAGATACGCGACGCAAAAAACCAAACTGGAAAAACTGCTCCGACTTTCATACCGCGCAGCAGAAGCTAGAATAATTACCAGTGAAATAATGCTAGAAATAAGTGCTTCTTTTGTTGATACGTTTCAACATTAATAAGAAGAATGGCTTGTTTTTTTTAATAGTTTTGTCAAACCAGCCGGCATATTACCGCGCAGGAGGAGCTAGAATATTTACCAGTGAACTAATACAAGAAATAAGTGCTTCTTTTGTTGATACGTTTCAACGTTAATATCAAGAATGACTTGTTTTTTTTTAATATTTTTGTCAAACTAGCCGGCATATTAATAATAACAACCTCTGACAAGTCTAAGTCAGTGAACAGGTCCCATAGTTCATTTAGTGACTCAGTGCCAATTGAGCCTCCTATCTCCTACGCGAGGGCACAGTTTTGTTAGCTCCATACATGGATTAATTCAACGTGAGCTCCATACATGGATTAATCCAACGTGAGCTCCATACATGGATTAATTCAACGTGAGCTCCATACATGGATTAATTCAACGTGAGCTCCATACATGAATTAATTCAACGTGAGCTCCATACATGGATTAATTCAACGTGAGCTCCATACATGGATTAATTCAACGTGAGCTCCATACATGGATTAATTCAACGTGAGCTCCATACATGTACATGAATTAATTCAACGTGAGCTCCATACATGGATTAATTCAACGTGAGCTCCATACATGGATTAATTCAGCGTGACTTGTTGTAATGAAGCAGATATTGATCTCCTCGAGGAGAGGTTTGTACGTGATGCCCTATTACCGCATTAACCTAGGTTTGATTAAGAAACGTTTATAGTAAGGCAAAGAATTTATTCGTGCAATTTTAATTTACGTGTTTGTATGTAAACTAATCCTAAGCGTTTGTTATACCGCCGCCCTTCTCTTATCTTGTGCTGTTGTTTATTGTTTGCTTTGTTAAGAAGCACGTCTTGCGGGCATAGAAAGTTTGTGCACTATCAGGTTATTCTCTCCTGAGGTCTTCGCCATACAAGAAGACATTTTTATCTTCACTTGATTTGGAAATCGTTTTTCTGACTGGGTTTAGCTTTGTATAGACCAGTGATTGTTTTGGAATTGATTTTCAATTAGGACTGGGTAATTGAATGTCATCCGTGTACGTCTTCGCCATATTAGCGACAGAGCTCAATGTGGAGCTAATTTAAAACTTTGGAAATTATTTTTCCATTCTGGACTACTAACATTTGATTCACTTTTGTAGGTATTATTCATCTCGTAAGAAACAGACTGAGCCACTAATAACGCCCAGTAAACAGTCTAAAGCCTCTTACAACGCCCAGTAAAGTCTAAAGCCTCTAATAACGCCCAGTAAACAGTCTAAAGCCACTTATTACGCCCAGTAAACAGTCTAAAGCCTCTCACAACGCCCAGTAAGAAGTTAGTTCAACTAAAAAGTTGTGCCGAAGCGACAGTGATGAATGTGCCCTATTATTTTCCTCGAGTATTCAAACCGCACTAAATGCTTCTCTGTCAAATGAGAATTATACTCGCCTTTGACGATCGTTCGCCTTAGATGCACCTTGAAATACTACGACAGCTTTTGTTAAAGTCCCGGAGCATCGCCCGCAATATGTATTACGGGTGATAATATTAATTAATTAATAATTTTATTGTGATCAAGACAAGATTCTCTCTTTGTCAGGTACCAGATAGTAAAAAATAGCATAATCCTCCCGTCATCAATCAAATTGATTAAAGGTAATTTTGATCACCTCGAGTACCTTTAAATTACTTAAGAATCGTAAGTACTATGAAGCCATGTAATGACGTTGTGGTGGTCTTGCTGCCGGGCTTAAGGGTACGCACATAGTGAAAGCAGGTTTGCCCGTGCGGGCAACCTGCCACAAGAATGAACATAGGATAAAAATATAAGTGTTCACAGTGAAAACCTGTACGAATAGGCCAGCGCCAGGCCTATTTATTTCAGTTTCAGGCGCCAGCCTCAGCAGGTAACCAGCACGCTGGCAACCTGCTTCCTCTGTGAACCTCTCGCGCTTGTTTCAGGCGCCAGCCTCAGCAGGTAACCAGCACGCTGGCAACCTGCTTTCACTGTGTGGGTACCTTAACACGTTAAGTGTGGCACGGCCCGCCAGTGAGTTGAAGGGTCTTTTTTTCGGAGCAGTTCCGCAATTTACTTTTTTTTCTGTGTTTGTCTACAAAAAATATATGATGGCAAAACTACCTGACTAATCTTTAAAATGTAAGGAAAGAAAAATGGAATTTTTGCACGGGAACCTACAAATCTGAATAATACATTTTGAATAATAGGATTTTTCATCCGCCGACTTGTCAGTTTTTAGGCCATCTGCCAGCGCTAGTGGGTCGTGCTGCACTTACGTGTTGAGCTTCGTCATTTTCAAGCATTTTACCCAAAATTTTCTTAATGGATCTAATCAAGGCCATTATTTATTATAAGAAATGTTTCAACTTACTTAGTGTGGGTATACAAATTACAAAATTATATCTTGTACCCGACAGCATCGCTACTTTCATTTACTTCGGTAGGCATCAGAACAAATCCGAGTTAAGAAGAAGCTGGAAGTAAAACAATGCATTAATTTTAATGCATGATTAGTTTTTGGGGGTAGGGCGAGAGATTAGAAACGTAAAGAAATGTCAACCTTTATCCGTCAAATTTCGCCGTTCACTGCATTCACTATTGTAAATAACTTGGCGTTGTAAACTCAGCTTCCTTCCTTCCCTTACTGTCTAACTACGTGCATTATGTAGTACATGGACTAAGCACCTTTTGCATTGTTTTGCTCACGGCCTGTTGTTCACTGTTATTTGGTTCATCACCACGCTTCCAAATATCCCTTGCAACAAATATACACCTGGAAAATAAAACATTCCGACGTGATTTTAAATGTGCTTATATAACAAAAGAAAAATGCACACATTGATAGTAATATAGAAATTGAATACTTGACAGCATATATAATGTTTTATCTACTAAATTGGTCGGCTTAGGTCAATGAACTCTGCGCTGGAATCATACCTGACTAGTATAAAGAATATGGAATATTTAAACATTCCATGTATCACAGTAATAAGACGATTGGGACGGAAATGAAGTATGCAACTCGTCGAGTTCATAACGATAGCAGTTCAGTGGTACGCAATAACTGACGATGAGAATTTGTTGCAAGCGTCAACATGACCAACACACACGATGAAAAAGTTTTCTAACGCGAGGAAAATTATTTGAGACTGAAATACTGGAAATTTCTAGAATGGAACGAGTGCATTCCAGTCCCTGGCAATCATTGCACGTCTATGGGAGAAGTTAGAAATTCTGGAATCTAAGACATAGAATACGAAAGCGTTAGATTTGTGCGTCCATAAATCTATGAATGTGCGAAACTTGCATAGAGTAAAACATGTTTCCTAAACATTGCAACCAATGCAAAGAGTTGTGAATGCTGGCTAGAAGGCACGAAGCGTAAGCCATGTGGCATTATAGTTCAGTTGACGTTTCAAATGAGAATCCTGGCCAGTTACAGTGCTTTTCCAACGACAAAAAGAGACTTGTCGAATTAAGTGCCGCTATTAATACTTCCAAACCTTGTGTATATGTTTTTAAAACGTGCAAAACTCGAAATCAGTTATAAAATTGCAATAAAACAAAACTAGATCTATTGAGGGCGAATTAGTAGAGTAGTTGCATCACAGCAGATTAAACCATAGATCAATTTCGGCACTCAAGTGATGCCGTTATATTAACGGAGTTATGACCCAGTTTCTCATCTTGTTAACTAGTTTGACCTAAAATATGATTTATCCAAATGCTGTCTATTAATAATGATATACGTGCCTAAGTCAAACACCAACCGTATTTTCACTCGTCCATTACCCCCAGAAAGAGGTAATGTGGTAATCTACCCGCAATTAGTGAAGATCAACGGATTGATTTATCTTAATGCTGTCAATATTGATATACGTGCCTAAGTCAAACACCAGCAATATTTTCAGCAATATTTTCACTCGTCTATTACCCTTAGAAAGAGGTACTGTGGTAATCTACCCGCAATTAGTGAAGCGTAACGGATTAGAGTTCAGCGTCGCGCTCAAGTGCAGCTTTAAGGCGCGGGAAGTCGGCGGTGTGAGGGGAGACCACGTTAGTGGGCAACCGCCAGACCCGCACGCGCCCCAAGCTGTCGCCTGCCGCCAGCAACGTTGAACTGTGGGAGGAGTTAGAAATTCTGGAATCTGAAGACATTAAATATGAAATTGTCAGATTTGTGGGTCCATAAATACAGGTGGGGATAGTATTTGGGGCGAGATGGGGATAAATAGTAGTTGAATGAAATGCGTTTATATGTAAAGGTCATTGTTGGTGGTCATAAGCAGAGGTTATAGTAGTTGTAAATAATGTCTGAAGAAATGTCCTTATCATCAAAAACGCCGAGGCCTTTAACGAGTTATGAAAAAAAAGTTAAGAGCTTTAATCAACGCTCTTAACATTAATTAAAGAAAAATTACATACGATTGAATATGAAGTGGAAAATCAAGAAGGCAAACCAGGAATCACCTGAGCAAGGTATCCAAATTACTGCAGCAACGCTATGGTAGAAAGTTATCACTGTGTTAATTAATTATCTTGCTTATTATTTACGAGCGCCTACACATCATTTCTCCTAAACCAATAGAGCAGATGCTTGTGTACTCAAAAGACTGTGCAAAAATTATTCATGATAACTAAATTATTATCAAGTTGAAACGTTCAAGATAAGCCGGTCCAACCAGCAAGTTGATCCAATGCAGACAGACAGACAACATAAGTAGCAAAAAAGGTCTCTTCAAATGTAAATACATACATAATGAAGCAATTATGAAACAATAGTACGGTACTCATAATTGCCTAAAAGTAAGAAGTTACAACCTCAGTCATTTAGGAGTTGTAATTATTGTAATTAGTAAACAGTCTTGGCTGAATAGGAGCGCATGACTAAGGTCTTCTGACAGATCAGACGTTTTCTTACTAGCATTTTATTCCAATGGAAGCGCGTCATTAAAGTCTTCTCATAGATCAGACGTTTTCTTACAAGCATTTTATTCCGAATAAATACATGAATGCTGTTATCCGTCTCAAGATAACGCTTAACTCACTTGGCATGGCTGAAGCGCATGGCAGTCACAGGAGCAGTTTTCTCAAGAGGCGGCAGCGACAACAGCGGCTTGTTGGCCTCGCCTGCAGCGTCCGCCTGCGTCTGCTGCTGCTGCTGTACGGCGCACACGTCCAAAAAGTTCACCTGTAAACAATGGCAGTTCATTATTTTCTTAACAATTACTATTAAACTTCGGTGGCATAGCGCATAAGAGCGTAAAGATTGGAGCAGTGAACTATACGTTTCACTTGAAAAATTCTGGCCAATATCGGCGAAGTGTCCGGGTGTTGAGGGAAGCAAAATTGAATTCGATATTTCGTATTCGAGCATTCAGTTAGCCTAAATTTTGTAATGCCTAGAATCAGCTAAGGTGAGATTGGCATAATCTTCAACGTCGATCCCACTATTCTAGACTATTAATAGTAGTTATAATAGTTTATTACAGTTCAGTGTTTGAAAACATTTGGGAACATGACGACAGTGGAGAACTTTTAACAAACATGAATGTTAGTTTCCGTGCTTGAAGGCCTCGGTGCTCGTGCATTACTTCACTCATAATTGAGCTTAGTATGAAGAAAGTCTTATTAACGATAGCCGTACATTTTGGTAAAACCTTATTTTGTTCAATAATGAAACACATTTGAGAGCCAATACCAATAATCGAGTAAAACTGTTGGCACTATACGAGAAACAGGTGCCAGTGTTGGCACTATCCGAGAAACAGGTGTCAGTGTTTTCACTATACAAGACACAGGTGCCAGTGTTGGCACTATACAAGAAACAGGTGTCAGTGTTTTCACTATACAAGACATGGCACTATACAAGACCCAGGTGCCAGTGTTGGCACTATACAAGAAACAGGTGCCAGTGTTGTCACTATACAAAAATAAAGTTAACTAATAATAAGATATAGGCGCCAGACACCTGGCCAGAGAAGAGGCTCGTGGCGACGAGGACGGGACGAGCAGGCGACCACTGCACGGCCGTGAGGGGCGCCTCGCTGTACAGCGTCGCCACGGGCTGGTTAGGCTGCGAAAAATAATTCATTAATTAAATACCAACAAACAATTCTTAATTTACTCAACAAGCTTGGTCGAGATGAGGAAATGTGGCTGTGAAAAATCGTGGCTGCGAAAAATGCGAAAATCACGAAAGGAACTTCTTCAGACTTGATGAAGACTTGATAACGGGGAGACGATGAGAAATTATTTCATGGTTTCCATCAATTTTGAATTATTAATTTATTTTAAATTCTTCTCAAATTCCTGATTAGAATCATCAATATCAATAAGATTCAGGCGGCGTCTTCTACAATGACAATGCACAGAATTTTCTGCAATTTGCATTCAACCTAATAAAGAATGACATAAACTCACAATTAACAAAGTTAAGGCAAATCCGTACGAGCTTCAAGTGTTTTATTCTGTAATTGAAAAACAAATTACTTCATGATACACCAGTACAGCACCTGCAGCAGTACAGCACCTGCAGCAGTTCAGCACCTGCAGCAGTTCAGCACCAGCAGCAGTTCAGCACCTGCAGCAGTTCAGCACCTGCAGCAGTACAGCACCTGCAGCAGTACAGCACCTGCAGCAGTACAGCACCTGCAGCAGTACAGCACCTGCAGCAGTACAGCACCT